GGGAAGGCCGTCTTGCCATTTTTCCATGCTGGGAAGCCAAATTCGACAAAGCAGCTGAAGCTCAGCGGCCTGGCTGTATAAGCAATTGGAACGTTGGACCTGGGAGGTCATCTAGTCCAACCCCCTGCTCAAGCAGGACAACCTCCACCGTTTCAGACAAAGGACGGTCCAGTCTCTTCTTAAAAACCTCCAGTGTTGGAGCACCCACAACTTCTAAATGTATCACACCCTTTAACACAGTGTTTCTCAACCTTGACCATTTTAAGGCATGTGGACTTCAACTCCCAGAATTCCACAGCCAGCAATGCTGGCTGTGGAATTCTGGGAGTTGAAATCCACATGCCTTAAAATGGTCAAGATTGAGAAACACTGCGTAACAGAATGACAGAGCTGGGAGGGACCTTGGAGGTCTTCTAGTCCAGCCCTGCTTAAGCAGGAGACCTCTTAGAGACCATTTCAGACAGGGATGAGCAATGGCCATATCTAATCGAGGAGAGAAGCAACCTAGAACTAAGGAGAAACTTCCTGACAGTTAGAACAATTAATCAGTGGAACCACCTGCCTCCAGAAGCTGTGGATGCTCCAACACTGGAAGTTTTTAAGAAGAGACTGGACAGTCATTTGTCCAGAAAGGTATAGGGTTTCCTGCCTGAGCAGGGGGTTGGACTAGATGACCTCCAAAGTCCCTTCCAACTTTATTATTATTATTAAGTATATACTTTGTTTATCAATCTTTTCTGGCATAATACCTAATAAAAAAAAGTTCAGGTTTAAAATCTACATGTTTTCCCAACACCTTTTCTAGCCAAGTATGTATTTTTTTTTCCCCAGTACCTCTTTGCTTTAACACATGTCCACCATACATGACGATAGGTACCTGACTTATGTTTTTACATTTCCAACATTCTTAGATTTATTTAAAAATGCATTATGGTGGGCCAGTTATTGGCAAGCAATACACCATCTTTGTAAGGTTCACTCATCCCTAAATGATCAACTGCAACATGTATGTGTTTTGGGGCTTTGCCATGATAGCAGTTTTCCAGTATTTGAGAGGTTGTCAGAAATACTTTGGAGAATAGGTTGAAACTATTCTCCAAAGCCCCAGAAGGCAAGAAAAGAAACAACGGGTGGAAGCTCATCAAGGAGAGAAGCAACCTGGCATTAAGGAGAAACTTCCTGACAGGGAGGACAATTAACCAGTGGAACTTTTTAAATTATTATTATTATTATTATTATTATTATTATTATTATTATTATTGTTGTTGTTGTTGTTGTTGTTGTTGTTGTTGTTGTTGTTGTTATAATATAAGCAATTTGAGCATTTCTTTTTCTTCCAAATGGATGTGAAAACACAGGCTAGCTACTCTCAGCTCCACGACGGTCTTCCAGTTCTAGACACTCTGCAAATTATTCGGTCTCCGTAGCAGGACTCCTCGGACCACCGACGGTCAGCCACAAGGCAGTTCACCCCCGCCTGCTTGGATGCAACAGCCCATGCCTCTTCACATCAGGGGATTAGTGGCTGAGCCTGATCTGCCTAAGAGATTAGGAGTCAAGTGGCTGCATGAAGTTTCACAATTCGGAGATCCAGATCAGAGAGAAGGGGGTGCCATTACTGACCCCTCTCATAAGCCGTCCGAAAAGTGCACGGAGAAAAATACGTGGATAAATCTCTAAACCATAAGAAGGCTAGAGAGCCATCAATCAGAATCATGCTGGAAGGGACCTTGGAGATCTTCTAGTCCAACCTCCTGGTCAAGCAGGAGACCCTAGACCAGGGGTAGGCAACCTTGGCTCTTTTATGACTGGTGGACTTCAACTCCCAGAATTCCTGAGCCAGCATAGCTCAGCTTGGAAACCTCTCCCTTTCCCCTCAGCATGGCTGGCTCAGGAATTCTGGGAGTTGAAGTCCATCAGTCATAAAAGAGCCAAGGTTGCCTACCCCTGGTATAGGGTATATATGGTATAGGACAGGGGTAGGCAACCTTGGCTCTTTTATGACTTATGGACTTCAACTCCCAGAATTCCTGAGCCAGCATGGGGGAACTATGGCCCCCTCATCTTGTGAACTTCAACTCCCATAATTCCTGAGCCAGCATGGGGGAACTATGGCCCCTTCATGACTCGTGGACTTCAACTCCCAGAATTCCTGAGCCAGCATGGGGGAACTATGGCCCCTTCATGACTCGTGGACTTCAACTCCCAGAATTCCTCAGCCAGCATGGAGGAACTATGGCCCCCGTCATGACTCATGGACTTCAACTCCCAGAATTCCTGAGCCAGCATGGGGAAACTATAGCCCCTTCATGACTCATGGACTTCAACTCCCAGAATTCCTGAGCCAGCATGGGGAAACTATGGCCCCTTCATGACTCGTGGACTTCAACTCCCAGAATTCCTCAGCCAGCATGGGGGAACTATGGCCCCTTCATGACTCGTGGACTTCAACTCCCAGAATTCCTGAGCCAGCATGGGGGAACTATGGCCCCTTCATGACTCGTGGACTTCAACTCCCAGAATTCCTCAGCCAGCATGGGGGAACTATGGCCCCTTCATGACTCATGGACTTCAACTCCCAGAATTCCTGAGCCAGCATGGGGAAAATAGCCCCTTCATGACTCATGGACTTCAACTCCCAGAATTCCTGAGCCAGCATGGGGAAACTATGGCCCCTTCATGACTCGTGGACTTCAACTCCCAGAATTCCTCAGCCAGCATGGGGGAACTATGGCCCCCGTCATGACTCATGGACTTCAACTCCCAGAATTCCTGAGCCAGCATGGCTCAGCTTGGAAACCTCTCCCTTTCCCCTCAGCATGGCTGGCTCAGGAATTCTGGGAGTTGAAGTCCACGAGTCATAAACGAGCCAAGGTTGCCTAGCCCTGCCCTCTACCATTACAGACAAGTGGCTGTCCAATCACTTCTTGGAAACCTCCAGTGATGGAGGACCCACGACAAAAGTCAGATTTGAAGGTCTGAAATTTATCACTCTATCAATGTCAGAAGAAGCGTCTCTCTCCGACGTCTGTGCAAAAAACGTAAATCGGATGAAAAGACCGTTTTACAGTTCAAAAGTCCCCTGCAGGACCACAAAGTCAGTTCACGCTAGAAAATGCAGCCAGTCACTCGACAAACTCATCCTTCTGAAGCACACAAGATTTCACGGCTCAGATCCTAAAACCAGCACAAGATACAAGCACGAGAAAAACATTCCTGTCCATGAGCACCCTGGGCACTTACGCGCAGGGAGCTGGCAGGTAGAAAAATTTAAAAAAAAAACCAAACACATTCCTTTTCTGAAACCGAGCTGTATAAACAATCAACCTGATCAAGACCATCTGGGGTAGCCTCAGGGGAAAAAAAACGACTTAGTAAACTCTTAGCAGCGGTGAAACAAGCCATTATACCCCGAACCAGGTTCAAATTGCTGAGTTGCAATCGCAAAATGTGCTCCAATTAGGGAGGGGGTATGTGGAGAAGAGAGAGATTTAGGAGGGGGAAATCAAACAGGCAGAGGCAAAATAAATGGCAAATCAATAAATAAAAGTTAGTAAACAAACAGAGGCAAGGGAAGGCAGCCCACAAGCCGAAATGAGAGCTTACGGCCCAAAATTTCTGTTGCTAAGTAAAACAGTTGTTAAGTGGGTTTTGCCCCACGTCACAACTTTTCTTGTCAATCCCCTGCAGTTGTTAACAGCACGGTCATTAAAGCGAAACCGGCTTCCCCCGTTGACTTTGCTTGGCAGAAGGTCGCAAAAGGAGATCACGTGCAACCGTCATAAATACGAGTCAATTGCCAAATGGCAGAATTTTGATCACGTGACCGTGGGGATGCTGCTGCAATGGGCGTAAGTGTGAAAAACGGTCATAAGTCACCTTTTTTCAGTGCCCTTCTAACTCTGAAGGGCCACTAAATGAACCGTTGTATGTCAAGGACCGCCTATGTCATCAAATGATCTCTTTCGAGCATTTCTGTGTGTGTGTGTGTTCAGCTGCAGAATATATGAAATGGGTGCAGCAGCAAACACGGGAAAGGGATTTTAAAAAAAAACCCACAGACAGTGATTAACCAGTTATTAATAATAATAATAAAAACCCAGTTAATATTAGACAACGGCTTGTCTAAAAGGGAATAGGGTTTCCTGTCTGAGCAGGGGGTTGGACTAGAAGATCTCCAAAGTCCCTTTCAACTCTTCTCTTCTCTTCTCTTCTCTTCTCTTCTCTTCTTTCTCTATTCTATTCTAATTTCTATTCTATTCTATCTCTATTCTATTCTATTCTAATTTCTATTTTATTCATTCTCTATTCTAATTTCTATTCTATTCTATTCTTTATTCTATTCTATTCTATTCTATTCTAATTTCTATTCTATTCTTTCTCCTATTTTATTCTATTCATTCTCTATTCTAATTTCTATTCTATTCTAATTTCTATTCTATTCTATTCTAATTTCTATTCTATTCTTTCTCTATTCTATTCTATTCATTCTCTATTCTAATTTCTATTCTATTCTATTCTAATTTCTCTTCTATTCTTTCTCTATTCTATTCTATTCTATTCTATTCTAATTTCTGTTCTATTCTATTCTAATTTCTATTCTATTCTAATTTCTATTCTATTCTATTCTATTCTATTCTAATTTCTATTCTAATTTCTATTCTATTCTATTCTATTCTAATTTCTATTCTATTCTACATTTTATTCTATTCTTGATTGGACATGCATGATCAAAACCCCGCCCTTTTATGGGTGGAGCAATGCATATTAAAAAGGGGCGGTCCTTCATCCATGTTACTGAGACCGCCATCTTTCCCCCCCCTCTAATTCCCGCCCCCCCATCCCATAATACAGTACTATAATAGATTACGGTCCTAACTGAGGTTGTAATTTGTGGACTACGTACGCCAGAAATCATTTTGGATGCTTGGTTAGGTCAGCATAAGATTAAGGGACGCCGTGGAGAGGGAAAGATAGGAAAGGAGACGAAAGGGCCTTACTCTCGGAGTCGCTGATGCTGGTGCTGCTCCGCCTCTTCATCTTCTCCAGATGTTCCTCGTATTGGAAGTGTCGCTCCTTCACGGAGGAGGAGAAGTCCTCCATCACCGCATCAAACTCACCCAGAACCTCCGCCAGTTCTCCACCATCTTCTGACAAATCTGCCAAAGCAGAAGACAGAAGCGTTTCATCCTAGCACTGGCCTACAGCTAATATCAGAATAACAGCTGGAAGGGAACCTTGGAGGTCTTCTAGTCCAACCCCCTGCTCAAGCAGGAGACCCTATAACAGTGGTGGCGAACCTATGGCACGGGTGCCAGAGGTGGCACGCAGAGCCCTCTCTGTGGGCACGGGCACCATCGCACCAGTCCTAGGCCTTCAGCTGGGTTTTATAAAACCTTTTCACTTTAGGCCTCCGCCGCCATGTGGAAAAAAAAAAAGGTTCAATCAATCAGTCAATTTCAACTTCTCACGGGAAAAAAAAAGATCTTGCAAAGTTGGAATTGATTGATTGAACTTTTTAGTCCCACCCAGTCTGCCATTACCACCGCAGCCACACCCAGCCAATAGGCCATGCCCAGCCAATGGGCCACACCCACCCAACACCTGACAATGCATAAATGGGTTTTGGGTTGCAGTTTGGGCACTCGGGTCTCTAAAACAATGGTTCTCAACCTTTTTAATGCCGCAACCCCTAACCGGTCGTAAGTCGAGGACTACTCAACCAGTCGTAAGTCGAGGACTACTCAACTGGTGCAGCACCATTTGCAGAATGGGACTTTTGGCGGGCTCAGCAGGGCAGAGACATCCTGGACAATTCCTATTGGCTTTTGAAAGCCAATAGAATTAGACTCTATTCAAGAGAGTCTATTCTATTGGCTTTCAAAAGCCAATAGAATAAAAGGGAGTAGCACAGCTAAGGAAAAGGGGAAAAAATGGCGGACTGCGTTGTTTGGCGACCCCCGTGAAATGGTCGTTCGACCCCAAATGGGGTCCCGACACACAGGTTGAGAACCACTGCTCTAAAAGGTTCACCATCCCTGCCTTATAACCATTCTGGACAGGGGGCTGTCCAATCTCTTCCGAGAAACCCCCCCAGTGTTGGAGCACCCACAACTTCTGAAGGCGAGATTCTCAAGTCATCCAGGTCCACGGTTGTCCCAAAAGTGCTTTTTTCCATGAGGCAACTGGACTTCTTTGTTTTTCTTTGAAGACGTTTCGCTTACCATCCCAGACGCTTCTTCAGCTCTGACTGGATGGTGGGGAGAATGGCAGGATTTATACTCCTTGCAGACAGCTGGTCATTTGCCTCCTTTTAGAGAGTCATTGAGGCCACCTGGAGGTTTACCTGTGTCCTCATTGGACTGTCTTGTTTTGCTTTGAAGACATTTCGCTTCTCATCCCAGAAACTTCTTCAGCTCTAACCGGATGGTGGGGAATGGAAGGATTGATACTCCTTGCAGACAGCTGGTCATTTGCCTTCTTTTAGAGAGTCGTTGAGGCCACTTGGAGGTTGACCTGTGTCCTTGGCGGTCACCTGAGTGGTACAAATGGCTGTGGAGCCTTCTTGGCTACAGGATGTGTCCCTTCACTGTTGGAGACAAGCGGAGGCTGTTGGAGATGTGTCTGTGTGGTCTGCATCTCCATCTGAAGCGCAAATGGTTCCCGGAGTCCACAACGTTTTCTGGAAATTTCTACTCCGGCACCCTTCGAAGGGGGTTCATCCCGAAGTGCACGGCTAAATGTCTACGGAGATTCTGAGTCCTCCAGGACCTGGTTGTCCCAAAGGTGCTTTTTCCGGAGCAAACGTCCGAGCGATGTTCTCCGTGGCTGTATGTTCACATGAGCCGAACACCTGAGACCAAGACCCAGTTGGCTGCCTCCCTACAAGCCTGCTCAGATGCAACTAGGTGTGCCTCAAGCACTCAGGTGTGACCACACAGCCAAGATCTAAGGCTAGGAAGCCCCTTCTCAGCCTCCAATGGAACAATCTGCCTCGAGAAGCTGTGAATGCTCCAACACTGGAGGTTTTTAAGAAGAAACTGGACAGCCATTTGTCTGAAATGGTATAGGGTTTCCTGCCTGAGCAGGGGGTTGGACTAGATGACCTCCAAGGTCCCTTCCAACTTTATTATTATTATTATGGATCCTCGCACAGTCAGCCAGATGTTCAGACTGGATTTGGCATTTTGTCTAACTATTGAGTCCTTATCCAGGACCTGGGATAGGCAGATGTGGATGTTTGATGGTATTACAGGTATCATCGCAGGATGGAAGCAGTTCCTACTAAGGCTGTCTTTTGCAATTGACTAATAGCGAATTTGTCAATGCCAATGGTGTTCAAGTGGTGCTCCAGTTGTTTTGGGATTGCACCCAAGGAGCCTATGACTATTGGTACTACCCTTGCTTGCTTTTGCCACAGTCTTTCTATTTCTATTTGTAGGACTTTGTATTTTGTTATCTTCTGCAATGGCTAAGAGCAGGAAAATTGAAGAAAGAGACTGAGGGACTAACTCTGGCTGCACAAGACCAAGCCTTAAGGACAAATGCATATAAAGTCAAAATTGAGAAGACAGCAACAGTTGTTGTTGTTGTTGTTGTTGTTGTTATTGTTATTATTATTATTATTATTAAAGACTAGGACAATGGGCAAAGTCAAGCCTTGGGCTAGTAGTGGGTGGTTCAAGGCACTGGGGGGGGGGGCGGAGGAGACCCCAAAAACCCTGCAGACTTCAGATGAAGCTCCTGGTGGGCAAGTTTCTCCTGCGTCGCCCCCTTGGAAGGGCCCCCCCCCCGTCACATCCCACGTGGAACCGGCCGGGAAGGCGTCGAACTGGCTTCCCACCGGCCGCCAACTCGGGTCAGCGTTCACGTGTCCAGTTTCTTAAAGGGTGGGGGGCTGAGCGTCTCGTGGGAATGGAGCCTAAAGGCTCCCGCCCGGCTTCCTTGGGCCACTCCTTCTTCCCCTTCCGATGGAGGGGGACGGAGGGAAGCCAAGAATGGGGGGGGGGAATTGGAGAAGTCCGGGGGTCCCGACCCCGCCTCGCCTGGGAGCCCAGCCGGAGGGAGGCGCGGAGGGCGCGGCACCCGGATTAGAAGGAGAGTCGACCGGGCGGGATCGCCAACCCCGCGCCCGCGCGCCCTTCCCCGGCAGCGGCAGCGGCAGCAGCAGCAGCAGCGGCGGAACCCTCCCGGTCCCCAGGCATTCACACACACACACACACACGCACACACACACACCGACTCACCTTGGGCTCCGGGGGGCTTCTGCGCTTGGAGAGGCTTCATGGCCCCGGCGGTCGAGCTGGAGAGCCGGCAGAGAGGAGGCGAGGGCGCGGCGCTGCCGTCCGGTGCCAGCATCAGCCGCTGGCGAGGAGGAGGAGGAGGAGGAGGAAAGGGGAGGGGAAGGGAGGAGGAGCAGGAGCAGGAGCAGGAGCAGGAGGGAAGGGGAAGAGGAAGGGGGGAGGAGGAAGAAGAAAGGGGAAGGGGAGGAGGAGGAGGAGGAAGAAAGGGGAGGAAAAGGAGGAGGAGGAGGAAAGAGGAAGGGGAGGAGGAGGGGGAGGAGGAAAGGGGAAGGGAGAAGAAGAAAGGGGAGGAGGAGGAAGAAAGGGGGAGGGGAGGAGGAAGAAAGAGAAAGGGAGGAGGAAAGGGGAAGGGAAGAAGGAGAGGCAGAGGAGGAGGAAGAAAGGGGGAGGGGAGGAGGAGGAAGAGGAAGAAAGGGGAGGAGGAGGAAGAGGAGGGGGAAGAAAGGGGGAGGGGAGGAGGAGGAAGAAAGAGAAAGGGAGGAGGAAAGGGGAAGGGGAGGAGGAGGAGGAGGAGGAAGAAGAAAGGGGAGGAGGAGGAGGAAGAGGAGGAGGAAGAAAGAGAAAGGGAGGAGGAAAGGGGAAGGGAAGGGGAGGAAGAGGAGGAGGAAGAAAAGGGAAGGGAAGAAGGAGAGGGAGAGGAGGAGGAAGAAAGGGGGAGGAGGAAGAGGAGGAGGAGGAAGAAAGGGGAAGGGGAGGGGAAGGTCACGTGTTCAAAATTCAGCTGCTTGGCAACAGACCCATAGTTATGACGGTCGCAGGGTCCCGGGGTGTGTGTGTCCCGTGATCCCCCTTTTGCGACCTTCTCTCAAGCGAAGTCAAGGGGGGGGGGAGAGCCAGTTTCACTTAACAACTGGTTTACTAACTTCACTGCAGTGATTCACTTAACAGCTGTGGCAAGAAAGGTCATAAAACGGGGCAAAACTCACTTAACAAATGTCTCACTTGGCAATGGAAACTTTGGGCTCAATTTGTCGTTGCAAGTCGAGGAGAAGCCCCCGTGGGTCCTTCAGCTCGGGAATCCTTTTTGAGGATTGCATTCAGAAGAAACACTTTAGAATAGAATGATACAGTGGGAAGGGACCTTGGAGGTCATCTAGTCCAGCCCCCTGCTCAGGCAGGAAACCCTATCGCATTTCAGACAAAATAGCTGTCCAATCTCTTCTTGAAAACTTCCAGTGTTGGAGCACCCACAACTTCTGGAGGCAGGTGGTTCCGCTGGTTAATTGTCCTCACTGTCAGGAAATTTCTCCTTAGTTCTCGGTTGCTTCTCTCTTTGGTTAGTTTCCACCCGTTGCTCCAGTCGCTTCCTCTTCTTTGTAGCAAAGCCTTAGTTAGTGTTTCTCAACCTTGACCATTTTAAGGCATGTGGACTTCAACTCCCAGAATTCCACAGCCAGCATTGCTGGCTGTGGAATTCTGGGAGTTGAAGTCCACATGCCTTAAAATGGTCAAGGTTGAGAAACACTGCCTTAGATATTGGAATACTACTTGCATGCCACCTTTAGTCCTTCTTTTCATTCAATTAATGAAGATTTTCCCCGTGGATTTGCTCTTAGCAGCCCCCTACATAATAATCTTGCCTCTGTCCATGATCAGAGTCCCTCTTGCTTTGCAACCTCCAGTTCTGATCAGAACGGATAAAGTCAGTTTTGGAGCCACCAAAGAATGAGGAAATCTCTCCAAGTATTGTTTAAGGGTCTCTTTATCTAATCCAATGGCTAAAAAAAGACAAGAGTTTCTTTTGTGAAATCCTCAACTGTTAGCCAACACCTCCCCCCAAAAAGGCATCTGACTTTATCAATAGCCCCCCCCCCCCGCCGCCGCCGCCTTTGCAACCCAACTGAAGTGGAACCTCCAGAATCACCATCAATGAACTGTTGGACAGTATTACTTGGTCTGTTGGGTGGATGTTTGGGCAGTTTTAGGGGTGGGGAATTGTGGTGGGTGGGAGTGTGTTTGGGGATTATGTGTGTGGGACCTGGTCTTTGAGTGTCACCTAAATTTCGTTGTATGTGTATACAGTGACAATAAAGTTTATATTTATATTTAAAAAATATTTATATTTAATGGAGTAATTGCGGGGAAGGTCAACTAGTAATTTATTGCCAAAGTAATTTATTTTCTAGGTTCTTCTTCTTCTTCTTCTTCTTCTTCTTCTTCTTCTTCTTCTTCTTCTTCTTCTTCTTCTTCTTCTTCTTCTTCTCCTTCTTCTCTTCTCCTTCTCCTTCTCCTTCTCCTTCTTCTCCTCCTCCTCCTCCTCCTCCTCCTCCTCCCCTCCTCCTTCTCCTTCTCTTTCTCCTCCTCCCCCCCTCTTCTTCTTCTTCTTCTTCTTCTTCTTCTTCTCCTTCTCCTTCTCCTTCTTCTTCTTCTCCTCCTTCTCCTCCTCCTTCTTCTCTTTCTCCTCCTCCTCCCCTCCTCCTCCTCCTCCTCCTCCTTCCTCTTCCTCTTCCTCTTCCTCTTCCTCTTCCTCTTCCTCTTCCTCTTCCTCTTCCTCTTCCTCTTCTTCTTCTTCTTCTTCTTCTTCTTCTTCTTCTTCTTCTTCTTCTTCTTCTTCTTCTTCTTCTTCTTCCCTCCCTTCCCTGCAGGCTCCTGTTTGCAGGCTCCTGTTTGGCTGTCTTGTTTTAAAGTCAGGATTTTCATTCTTGCTCCCGTTCGGATGCAAAGCTGTAATCAGCCTCTCTCCCCCCCCCCCAAAAAAACCCAGAAAAGTTAAAAAAAAAAAAAAAGCGACTGCATCCAGAACTGCAAGTCAGACTCTCCTTTCTCCTGAATTTCCAAGAAAGGGAGAGACTTTATTTTATTTTTTGGCCCATCTGGAATGCCAACCACGATGACAGAGAAATATTTGACTCCCAGACAGAAAAGGAGAGGTTAATGTCTATGGAGGTTCTCCATCATCGAGGTCCTGGTTGTCCCAAAGATGCTTTTTTAGGAGGCAACTGGACTGTCTTGTTGTTGTTTTTTCTTTGAAGACGTTTCACTTCTCATCCATGAAGCTTCTTCAGCTCTGACTGGATAGTAATAATAATAATAATAAAGTTGGAAGGGACCTTGGAGGTCATGTAGTCCAACCCCCTTCTCAGGCAGGAAACTCTATACCAGTGATGGCGAACCTTTTAGAGACCGTGCCCAAACTGCAACCCAAAACCCACTTATGCATTGTTGGGTGCCGGCTGGGCGTGGCCCATTGGGTGGGCGTGGCCCATTGGGTGGGCATGGTCCTTTGGATGGGCGTGGCCAATTGTGGCCCATTGGCTGGGCATGGCTGCGGTGATAACAGCAGACTGGGTGGGACTAAAAAGTTCAATCAATCAATTCCAACTTTGCAAGATCTTTTTTTTTCCCCACGAGAAGTTGACATTGATTGATTGATTGAACCTTTTTTTTTTTTGCGTACAACGATGGAGGCCTAAAGCGAAAAGATTTTATAAAACCCAGCTGAAGGTCCAGGACTGGGGCGACGGCGCGCGTGCCCACAGAGAGGGTTCTGTGTGCCACCTGTGGCACGTGTGCCATAGGTTCGCCACCACGGCCCTGTACCATTTCAGACAAATGGCTGTCCAGTCTCTTCTTAAAAACTTCCAGTGTTGGAGCATTCACCGCTTCTGGAGGCAGGTTGTTCCACGGGTTAATTGTTCTCACTGTCAGGAAGTTTCTCCTTAGTTCTAGGTTGCTTCTCTCCTGGATGAGTTTCCATCCGTTGCTTCTTCTCCTGCTTTCAGGTGCTTTGGAGAATAGCTTGACTCCCACTTCTTTGGGGCAGTCCCTGAAATATTGGAAGACTGCTATCCTGTCCCCCCTGATCCTTCTCTTCATTAAGCTAGACCTACCCAATTCCAGCCACCATTCCTTATATGTTTTAGCCTCCAGTCCCCTGATCATCTTTGTTGCTCTTCTCTATACTCAATAGTGAGGGAATGGAAGGATTTATAACTATAGGGATACAGGAATATGAATCCTTCCATTCCCCCACCATCCAGTCAGAGCTGAAGAAGCTTCTTAGATGAGAAGCAAAACGTCTTCAAAGAAAAACAAGAAAGTCCAGTTGCCTCATGAAAATGCACTTTTGGCACAAAAGGAGAGGTTGTAAATAAGCATTTCTTCCTGTCCCCTCCCCTATTGTCAAAAAACGTAACAGCTCCCTGGCCCTGAGCAGATAGGTGGGGAGAAAGCTGAGGTAAACAAAAGACAAGGCAACGTTTGTGCAAATTCCTCCCGACCCAGTGAAAGGGTGATGCATCAGTCCTTGGAGTTGGATAAAGCTCCCCCTGTGATTACATTGGCTTCCCCCTTATCTGGGTATCAGGGCCTGCGGGAATGGCTTTGGGAGGCAGGCCGCAGGCTGCAGAACGTCCCATCCTGCACGGGATCTCTCAGCCCCAGGTGGAAGGGGGGGGGAGAGAGAGAGAGCACGAGGCGCCTTTTGGAAAAGGATCCTCCCTAGTTTTTCAGAGAGTTAAAAAAAGAGAAGGAAAAGGAAAAGTGAGGAGAAAAGGCAGGAAGTCTTGTGAGGAGCTGTCAGTGCAAACTTCCCACACCGACAGAAGGAGCGCCTGGCTGGACTGGTTGGGAGGGGGAGCGCCTGGTGAGCGGGCCTGGTCCCCGTTTGACAAGGTGCGGGAAGCGTTGAAGACCGGGATTGGTGCCGTCTGTGGTTTCTCTTCCCTCTTCCACTTCCTTCTTGCCTTTCTTCTTCCCTTTCCTGTTCCTTTCTCCTTCTGCTTCCTTTCCCTTCCGCTCTTTCTTTCCCTTCCTTTCCCTTCCCCTCCTCCTTCCTTTCCCTTTCTCCTTCCTTTCCTTTTCCCTTTTCATTCCCTCCTTTCCCCTTCTCCTTCATCTCCCTCTTCCTTTCACTTTCTTTTCCTTCTTCCCTCCCCTCCTCCCTTTCTCCTTCACTTCCCTCTACCTTTCCCCTTCCCCCTTTCTTTCCCTTTCCGTCTTTGTTTCCCCTTCTGCTTCCTTTCCCTTTCTCCTTCTTTCCCTTCCCTTTCCCTCCTTTCTTTCCCTTTTTCCTTCCTTTCCCTTTCTTCTTCCTTTCTCTTTCTGTCATTTCCCCTTCTGCTTCCTTTCTCTCTTCCTTTCCCTCTTCCCTTCCCTCTTCCTTTCCCTTCCCCTTCTTTCTTTCTTTCCCTTTCTCCTTCCTTTCCTTTTCCCTTTCTCTTTCCCTTCCCTTTCCCTTCTCCTCCCTCTTCCTTTCCCCTTCCTTCTCTTCTCTTCCCTTCCCTCTTCCTTTCCCCTTCTCCTTCTCTTCCCTCTGTCTTTCCCTTTTCCCTTCCTTTCCTTTTCCCTTTCTCTTTCTCTTTCCCATCCCTTTTCATTTCCTCCCTCTTCCTTTCCCTTTCCCCTTCTCCTTCCTCTCCCTCTTCCTTTCACTTTCTTTTCCTTCTTCCCTTCCCTCCTCCCTCTTCCTTTCCCCTTTCCCTCCCCTCTTCCTCCTCCTCCCTTCCTTTCCCCTGCCTTAGAAGATGTCCAGCCCAATGATTCTAGATTGTATGTTCTTTCCGAGAACTTAAGTAAGGTGGACTTTTTGTTTACCTTTCTGTTTTTTCATGTCCAAGTTCATAATTTTCACACAGAGGTTCATCTACCACGTAACTTTCTAGCTTTTTATTCTTTTCACCTTGAACTTCATGTAAGGGGTCCCATTCTACTTTTTTTCCACCCAGAACAGTATGTCCACGTGGTTAGTAGAACGATCTCAAAAGTACGTTACTGAAGATGGAGGTAGAACAGTGGTTATTTTGCTATTTTTTTCCCCCACCATATAGTCATTTTGAGGATTACAAATTATATTTGTTAGTTGTTGGGAGATATTTTCCTACCGAAGAAGCTATGTTCCCTCTAGTGGAGAAATAAAGGTGGACATAATATCTGGGCTTTCCCTGCTGCCACTTTATAACCTTCGGGGTTCCTTATATTTCAACCCTGGACTATTCCCTCCTTCCTAGTTTTGAGGCATATCTGACGTTTAAAAGGTCTTCTATTATGAGTGCGCCACCTTTAAATATCCAAGTGGAGGTGAGGCATTAATTATCCACCAAATCTTTATTCTGGTAAATAGACTACTACGGTAAGGAAGGTTGGATAAAAATTATATATATAAAAAAACAACTAAAAAAATTTAGAACAAAAAATTACAGAAAATTAGCACGAAAAAATACTTTAAAAACTCCATATCTATCTATCATCCATCTATCTATTTATCTACCTATCATCTATCATCATCTATATGCATCTTATGTATCTGTATCTATCATCTATCAATCTATCTACCTATCATCTATCTGTCTGTCTGTCTATCTATCTATCTGGTGTCTATCTAGTATCTATCTATTTTTCTATATCTGTCTATATCTATCTATCTATCTGGTGTCTATCTAGTATCTATCTATTTTTCTATATCTATATATCTATCTATCTGGTGTCTATCTAGTATATCTATCTATCTGGTGTCTATCTAGTATATCTATCTATCTGGTGTCTATCTAGTATATCTATCTATCATCTATCTATCTATCTATCTATCTATCTATCTATCTATCTATCATATGGTGTCTATCTAGTATCTATCTATTTTTCTATCTATCTAGTGCAGCGTTTCTCAACGTTTGTGTGGCGACCCCCGTCACACGGACGCACCCCCAAGCGTGGCGGTGCCATGCGCGGCGGCGCCCCCATGCACGGCGCGCATGTGCGGAGGCGCCCCGAGGTGGGAAAATGGCGGATCACGTTGTTTGGCGACCCCCGTAAAATGGTCGTTCGACCCCAAATGGGGTCGCGACCCATAGGTTGAGAACTGCTGATCTAGTGTCTATCTAGTATCTAGTATCTCTCTCTCTCTCTCTCTCATCTATCTGTATGCCTCAATGGAAGTGGCTAATGGAGAACATCCTCCCTTTCCATTCTGCTGAGTTTTATTTTAATTAATATCAAGCAATTAATTAAATTTTAAATCCTTATCTATCATTTTAACGTTTTATACGGCGTTTTATTTAATGTCTGTAAGTCGCCTACAGTTTTCTTCGGCGAGATGGCCGGCATACAGATTTGATAAATATTAAAAGATTTTGAATTAAGTTTTTGGATGTGTGTGTTTTAATATTTAAAAATATTTAATATTTTTAACGCTCCCTGTAGATTTAGGTTGCTTATTTTATAGTTTTTTAAAATGTTTTTTAAACAAATTGTGTAATTTGTTTTCAAGCTTTTTTTTTTAAAAAAATATTGTTTATATCCCAACTTCCCTCATGCTAGTTCATGCCTTGTAAAGATCTGATTGACACAATATCTAATCCGCCATCTGTTCCAGGAGAAAAACCTTTGATGTTATCTACATGGGATAAAAGACATCGTCTCGTGCATGTGACTTCCGCAAAATTAAAACTCCCGTCATTAAGCAGGTAATACTGGGCACCAATACAATATGATCACAGCTAGTCCTCAATTTGCAACAGTTAATTTAGTGACTGTTCAAAGTTACAAGGCCACTGAAAGAAGTGACCTATGACAGTTTTTCACACTTACGACCTTTGCAGCACCATGGTCACATGATCAAAATTCAAACGCTTGGCAACTGGCATGTACTTAAGACGGTTGCAGTGGATCCCCTTTTGTGGCTTTCTGACAAGCAAAGTCAACAGGGGAAGCCAGGTTCACTTAACAACAATGGGGAAAAAGGTCGTAAAATGGATCACGACTCACTTAACAACTGTCTTACTTAGCAACAAAAATGTTGGGTTCAATTACAGTCGTAAGTCGAGGACTGCCTGGTACACCTTTACAGAAAAGGCAGAGTACATTGGTGATTGTTATGCCGAGTCCTTTCACTCTAATATAGTTGTAGACTTGAAAATATTTATCCATCCTGTGTTCAGTTGATATTAAAACACACAATAGCCAGCACCAAGTGTATAAAATAATTTATTACAGCATTACATTGTTGACTTTTTACAGGTAAGTTTTTCATTCAACTATTGATCCTAAGTAAATGACAAAGGAGATTGTCTGAATGACATCTTGGTAAAACTTCCCCCTTTTTTTAAATTTTGCATAGGACCTCAGTCATCTTAAATATTTACATTACTGGGGGGGGGGGAATGAAAGCAAACTGGTTCCATTGTTTATTTTTTTTTAAACTATTTTTTTTTTTTTTTATACAAGCCACAGTGAATTCCCTTTTACATTTTCAGGAATCGTTCTTTATCTCCTAAAAGGGGAGAAAAAAACACAAAAATTTAAAACTGAATCAAAACGTCGATAGGTTATATGCAAAATGCCTGTAACAGTAACATATAAAAAAATAAAATGGGGAAAAAAGAGGCAATGCGATTTATAGTTGGACTAAGTTGTGCTTTTAAAAAAAAAAAACCTCTGAACGTTAATAGCTTTGCAGCATGTGATACCACAATATTTTTGCGACTGTGGGTTTTCGATTCATTTCTCGAACATTTTAAGGGAGCTCCCTGTTATTATTGGGGCCGCATTCTGCGTTGGAAGTGAAATGTTTTACAACTCCCTAATTAATAACAAAGGCTCTTATTAATTCCAATAATGGCAACTTAATGGCGGTCAGTGTTCAACGAATCACTGAAAGGAATCGTGAACCAAAATAATTTACCGTTTAAAAAAAACAAACACATTCTCCAATTTTAAAAAATCAAATGCACCTTTCCAGTTCAATCAGAATTTCCATACAACGCTAGGAAACTGACAAAACTATGCCCAGATGCACATCATCTAGGATCCATGCTTTGAAAGAAGTGGAAAAGAATATTTGCAGCTGAGGGTTCAAATGAGGGGTCCTTGGTGTCCTCTTGAGCTTGGTAGTTTTCTTGCAGACGTTTCATGACCCAACTAGGTAACGTCATCAATGCTAGAAGGGGGCGGGGTTTGCCGTCTGTTTGTTACCTAGTTGGTCAATGTATCCCAAAGGTGCTTTTTCGAGAGGCAATTTGGACTTCCTTGTTGTTGCTGTTTTGAAGACATTTCGCTTCTCATCCAAGAAGCTTCTTCAGCTTCTTGCAGACAGCTGGTCATTTGCCTTCTTTTAGAGAGTCGTTGAGGCCACATCTTCTCTGTGGAACACCTTGCAGAAGTTCTCAACTCTGCTCACTTTTGGGAAAACCTTGAAGATCTGGCTGTTTTTCCAGACATGGAGGAAGAACCTCCCATCTATGTCAAAACTGAACAGCCCTCCCTCAACAGAGGGAGAGGGATATGACACCACCCATCTCCGACCTACAACACGGTCCTTTCATCAGTTCCAGGAAGGCTCCACACCCATTTGCACCACTCAGGTGACCCTGAGGACACAGGTAAACCTTCAGGTGGCCTCAAGGACCCTCTAAAAGAAAGCAAATGACCAGCTGTCTGCAAGGAGTATAAATCTTTCCATTCCCCACCATCCAGTCAGAGCTGAAGAAGCTTCTGGGATGAGAAGGGTAATGTTTTCAAAGAATAATAAGAAAGTCCCATGAGGACACAGGTAAACCTCCAGGTGGCCTCAAGGACCCTCTAAAAGAAGGCAAATGACCAGCTGTCTGCAAGGAGTATAAATCTTTCCACTCCCCACCATCTGGTCAGAGCCGAAGAAGCTTCTTGGGTGAGAAGAGAAACGTCTTCAAAGATAAAAGTCCAGTTGCCTTCTGAAAAAGCACCTTTGGGACCAGCGTGACCTAGATGACGGAGAACCTCCATAGACATTTAGTCGGGCAACGCAACATCTGCAAGAGAACAACCAAGCTCAGCGAGCACCAAGGAACCCACAAAAACCTAAAACCGATGAAAAACATGTCTGAGGATATATTTATCCTGGTTTCTTTAACATTCACATGCAGGACTCTCCAGGGACGGGGACGAAGCCAAGATGGCGGCCACTGCTTCTCCCCTTATGGACATCTTCCTTGAAAGAGGCGATTGTATTTATTGGTAGAGGCCAGGGGTAGGCAACCTTGGCTCTTTTATGACTGATGGACTTCAACTCCCAGAATTCCTCAGCCAGCCATGCTGAGGGGAAAGGGAGAGGTTTCCAAGCTGAGCCATGCTGGCTCAGGAATTCTGGGAGTTGAAGTCCACGAGCCATAAAAGAGCCAAAGTTGCCTACCCCTGGTATAGGCAGTGGAATTTATCGGCCTAGGATTCAGAATAGAAAGATTTATAGCTGTACAAGTATAAACATGACCAGTATTAAACCAAAAGGGTTGTGTACATCAACATTGGCAGCTCTTGCCGAGGGGAAAAAAAAGGAGTTTACGGCACAGTAGATTTGCCCCCAGTTTCCCGAGTTGGAGATCTGAGCAGTTCCGATGCGATCCCGTCGAAAGATCCCGGAAGATCCCTGGACTGTCAGGAGCGAGTCCCGCCTTCCGTTCTCAAATCTCATTGGTTAGCCCTTCGTGATTGATGGCCATACGATTCACGGGGGCAAAGCAACCGTCCTCTTCGCTGGCGGGGGACATAAAGGCCGTCGCTAACGGGAACAGTTTGTGGCACGCTGTCCGATACGCCTCGCCCTGGCTGTGACAGTCTCCAAAGGTGCCGTCACGCAAGAAATCCAAGACCGTTGTTAAAGTCTGCAGGTAACAACAACACAAGCAGATATGTCAAAAGCCGGATTGCTCGTCAGATTTCATGCAGGCAGTCCTCGACTTACAAGAGTTAATTTAGTGACCGTTTGAAGTTAGGACGGCATTGAAAAAAGTGACTTGGAGAAGAAAAAAAGCTACAATTAGGTTGAAAATTTAAGGCTTTTTGGTTTACTAGAGAGGACTTTAAACTGTCAGCTAATGGGCTAAAGGGAGATTTTGAGACAAAGGGAAATTTGATTACCAGATTTAAAATAGTTGGAAAATAGTAAAAAATAAGGGATTAGTCCAGTGATGGCGAACCTTTTAGAGACCGAGTGCCCAAACTGCAACCCAAAACCCACTTATGCATCGTCGGGTGCTGGGTGGGTGTGGCCCATTGGGTGGGTGTGGCCCATTGGGTGGGCGTGGCTATGGTGGTAACAGCAGACTGGGTGGGACTAAAAACTTCAATCAATTAATTCCAACTTTGCAAGATCTTTTTTTTCCCCACAAGAAGTTGATATTGACTGATTGATTGAACCTTTTTTTTTGCACATGGTGACGGAGGCCTAAAGCGAAAAGGTTTTATAAAACCCAGCTGAAGGCCTAGGACTGGGGCGACGGCGCCCGTGCCCACAGAGAGGGCTCCAAGTGCCGCCTCTGGTACCCGTGCCACAGGTTTGCCAACACTGGATTAGTCTGTCTAACACTGAGGATTTAGATTTATAAGGGAAATGTAAACTAATTATTAGGAAATAGGTCTGAATTATTGACTAGCCCAGATAATATAGATCAGTGGTTCTCAACCTTTTTAATGCCATAACCCCCAACCGGTCATAAGTCGAGGACTACTCAACCGGTCGTAAGTCAAGGACTACTCAACTGGTGCAGCACCGTTTGCAGAATGGGACTTTTGGCAGGCTCAGCAGGGCAGAGACAGCCTGGACAATTCCTATTGGCTTTGGAAAGCCAACAGAATTAGACTCTATTCAAGAGAGTCTATTCTATTGGCTTTCAAAAGCCAATAGAAGAAAAGGGAGTAGCACAGCTAAGGAAAAGGGGGGAAAAATGGCGGACTGCGTTGTTTGGCGACCCCCGTGAAATGGTCGTTCGACCCCAAATGGGGTCCCGACCCACAGGTTGAGAACCACTGGTATAGATGATAAATTTGAACTAATAAGGGATATTCTATTATTAAGGTGGCGATGTATTAGGGTGAGAATAGAAAATGTTTATGAAATAGAATAAGATTATATTTAAGTAACTAATATGTGCATTAGACATTAGAATTTTTATAAAGTGAGATAAAGGAAATTTGGGCTACCTGAAAGTTATATACTATGGATATTAAAGGTTAAATTTGAATACTGTAATTAAAAATTAGGTAAAACTTAATAACAATATGGATTGTTTTATCGAGATTTATTAAGCTATGTATAAGCGAAAAAAAATGTATTTATAAATGCGATAATGAAGTTTTCACTGAGTTTGGTATAATTAGAAGTTTACTAGCTTAAATATGAATTAGCAAATGTTAAGGGAAACATTTGATGATGCAATCTGAGATACCTACCAAAGGTTTTGTTATTGAACTATTGTTTAACCCAATCACCGCATTGCCTTCCAAACACACAAATGTAAAACTGGAAAACTAATAAAATATTTTTTTTTAAAAAAAAAGAAAAAAAGTGACTTATGATCATGTTTCACACTTACGACCGTTGAGGCATCCCCACAGTCCCAATCAAAATTCAGATGCTTGACAACTGACTCCTATTTATGACGGGTGCAGGGTCCCCAGGTCAGATGATCTCCCTTTGCGAAATTCTGACGAGGAAAGTCAGTGGGGGAACAAGATTCGCTTAACAACCTTGTTGTGCTGACTTGGTAACTGCACCCAGCAGTGATTCACTTAACAATTGTGGCAAATGGTGCAAAACTCATTTAACAAATGTCTCGCTTAGTGACAGAAATGAGCTCGGTTGAGGTCGTAAACCAAGGACCACCTGCAGAGGAGATGACCAGGCTGAGCCCGAGGGAGGGGTCAAAGGCATCATCAGTCACGAGTCCCTGCACGCCCGCAAGCGATCTCAGTCCAGGCCACCTTGAATGCCTTACTTATTTCCCGCTAATTTCCCCTGACCGTTAGTAGCTCAGATTCTTGTAGAGAGCTGAAGCTTGCAATAAATCTTTATGCCCATTTGAGCTGCCTGAATCTCCTGATTTCCTTGATGCTCAACATTTATTTTTCACGTTTAAAATTATTCTGGACTCGGAAGCTCCCGTTGTGATTCCTCGCCAGCCAGTGGACACGGCAGCTGAGTCTGGGGAATCAGAGGAGGGGCCCAAAGTGACATCAGAGGAAGGCTCTGACAAGCTCCAAGACTTACAGTCGGATGAGGAGCCTGGCCCCTCTACTCGCACGCAGGCTGAGACACAGCTATGCTGAGAGTCTGAGTTGGACAGTGATGAAGAACAGCTGGGACAAATCCCAGATGCATGAATGTGCCGGCAAGAGAAGCGAGTAGGACAGAGGAATGCAATGGGGCGGCTCCAAAGGCAAAGGAGAGGGCATTAGGAAGCCACGCCTTGGCTGCATAATAAAAGGGAAGGGGTGGGAGGTGCTGGTGGCCGAAGGCGACCATTCGTGTTGAGGATGGAGTTTCTGTGAACTGTGTTTGTTTGCCTTGGACATTGACTCAGGTCTGTGAATAATAAAAGGTGATTGATTTTTTCCTGCATTTCCAGCCTGCTTGTTGGAAGAAGGGTTTCTCCTTGTGAGCGTAACAAGGACTCACGTTGGCTGGGACAGAACAGCTCCACCCTGGCACCTGATAGGCCAGTGGTGGCAAACCTATGGCACGCGTGTCAGAGGCGGCACTCAGAGCCCTCTCTGTTGGCACGCGTGCCACTGCCGCCAGCAGCAAGTCCATCAGGCCACCACCGCCACCCGGAGCAGGAGCCCTGCCTAGCACAAAGGAGGCAAAGCGGCCAACTAGCAAACTCGAGTAGAAATGGTAGAGCAGAGGTCACCAACTATTGTCAATTGGCGGACTGGAAGAAAAGGGAAGGGGAAGCATTTTACATGCACGCGTGCGCGCACAGGGCCGGGAGTATGCACACGCTGCAAATGAGGCAGGGCTAATGCCTGCGTGATACTCACTAGCCCTGCCCCATTCTTGCATGGTGCAGCACCTTGTATCTGCATCCCGTGGCGCTGCGGTGGCCATTTTTGCGCTTTGCCGCACGGTGCCCCATTTTTGCGCCCCTCCCGGTTTTTGTGTGCCAGAGGCGGCAATCAGAGGCGTCTCCTTGCCCCCCCCCGAAGGCACCACAATGGTGATGTGGCCCTGGCACTTTGCGATAAATAAGTGGGTTTTCGGTTGCAGTTTGGGCCCTCGGTCTCTAAAAGGTTCGCCATCACTGTGATAGGCCATTCCTTCAAGTAATAACGAAATATGTATTTAAAGGATCTGTTATTTGGGATCCTAAACTCGTTATATTTACCTTCACGTTTCTGTCTCTCGTCATTTCGTCAAGTCGGGTAGCAATGGCAATTGCTTTCTCTTGCCTTGAATTATCCAGGAAATACATCATTTTGGCACCTGCACGAGGGGGGAAAAAAGCAGCTTATTAAAAGCAAAGGATGTTGGTTTTATCTAAAGAAAAACCCAGGCTTTTAGCTGCTGCGGCCCACTATAATTTATATTAATCCATTCGAAACAATTACGTAGAGAAGTATCTTAAGATTAAAAAAAAAAGGAAGACATTCAATCTATTATTGCATTAGGAGAATATATTTATTTATTTGCCGGATGCTGTTATCCCTGTTCTGAGAGACGAACATCAGAGATGTTTATTACGTGGAAAAAGATCTTCCCGCTGACCAAACACCGAGACAATGAAATTAAAAGGCAGTCACAACAACACAAATACAGAAATGTATTTTTCCTTCTTCCTCTCTCTGCATGAGAAGACAAAGTTAAGTCTGCGTATTCATCAGAAGTCATGGAAATTAAATCAAAAGATAACCTGGCTTATTTATCGCTCAATCTAGGCTTGTGACCCTATGCTTTATAATACAGGTTGTCCTGAACTGTGACGATTTGTTTAGTGACGGTTCAAAGTTACAACGGCACTGAAAAAGAGGGACTTATGACCGTTTTTTCACTCTTACGGCTGTCCTCACGATCACGTGATCAAAATCCAAATGCTCAGCAACTGGCATGTACTTATGACAGTTGCAGTATCCGGGGGTGTGTGTGTGTGTCACGTGATCCCCTTTTGTGCAAAGTCAACGGGGGAAGCCAGATTCACTTAACCACTGGCTTACTGACTTAACAACGGCAGTGATTCGCTTAACACACGCGGCAGGAAAAGTTGTAAAATGGGACAAAATTCACTTAACAAATGTCCCCCTTAATAAAAGTTGGGCTCCATTGTTAAGACGAGGACTGCTGGAGGAGAAAACGGTAATGAATTTGCAAAATTTTGCCGTAAGAATTGAGCATGCCGGATTGTGTTAGTCCCTGTTCTGTTGCACATAAGTTTATTCCTGCAGTGAAATGTAGGTTTATCAGCGTATCAGGGTTTAAACACACCGGTCCATACGCACCTGAGAGCAGGTGCCGTATAGAGGTAGAGTTACGTTTGAGAAATTCTTCGTTAAAACTTTCCAAATCTTTGCTAGTAAAAATCTTCTCCATTTCTTGGGTGAGAACTTTGTTCACGATATCTGGCAAGTTACTGTGGTTTGACACTAAGAATATAAAGAAGACGGGTTACGACCTCGAGTCAGGATGCAAAACAAAGATATTTGCTGCTGTTTTTTTTTTTTTCTTTAGCAAACTCAGCAGAATTTTACCCCAAAGCAAGCGGCTGATTTCATTTCATACTCACCGCACTTGGAAAATTTAATCAGACATTCGTGGAGCCAGGGGTGGCTGTCATCAATAGCAAAAGCTCTTTTAACAGACTGCAACATTAGCAGAAACTTTCCTGGATTGAAAAAAAATATATGCAGTTTTATTATTTAAATAAGGCCCCATGGGAAAAGGCTTATATATGTGTGTGTGTGTGTATAAATATAAATACAAATATAAGAAGTGGAGGAGGCCTGCTTGTTGAACTGGACTATATAAATTACATAAAGAATCCTTTAAACAAATGTATTGTCTGTCTATCTATCGCTATCATATCTATCTATCTATCTATCTATCTATCTATCTATCTATCTATCTATCTATCTATCTATCTATCTATCTATCTATCTACCTATCTATCTCTGTCTATCTTTCTGTCATCTGCCTGTCTCTCTTTATCTCTATTTCTATCATATCTGTTTCTATATCTATCTATCTATCTATCTATCTATCTATCTATCTATCTATCTATCTATCTACTACCTACCCACCCACCCACCCACCCACCCACCCATCCATCCATCCATCCATCCATCCATCCATCCATCAATATCTATGTCTGTCTTTCTGGTCTATCTATGTCATTTGTATTTCTCTCTTTATCTCTATTTCTATCATATCTATATCTATATCTATATCTATATCTATCCTCCATCCATCCATCCATCCATCCATCCATCTATCATCTTTGAAAATATTATTAACAGAGACCTGCTTGTTGAACTGGACTATATAAATTAGATAGATTAGAGAAATACTGTACATTATATGATAGCCAAGCATCTTTCTTCAAGATTAACACATTTATGCAGGAGATGAAATATATCTGACTATTGCAGCGCTACCTAAAATAGATTTAATTAAACTAATCCATAACTTCTCCCTGTGTTCTGTACAGATAATTTTAGATGCTAAGCAAATTCAATACACGTTGATTAGAATGTAAAATTGGCAGAGGGTACAGTACATATGCAAGCCTTACAAAACCACCGGCTTATTCGTGCATGTTACAACTGCGTGGGTTTTTACCTTTCCTGAAGTAGATTTCAAAGGCTAGTAGGTGGGTATCTATGTTATCTGCCACAAGACTCTTCAGAGGGATAAGGAACTTAATGGCCTCCTCCAGCGGATTTTCCACCTGTCTCAACAAAAGAGATCTGAGTAGGTTACAAGGGAGAGTACATGAAAAGAAGGTGAAAGAGTAAGCTTGTTGTAACTTGGTGCCAGAGTCATTGGTCTTTCCCCCCCCCTTCATCGTAATATTTGAGTAGTGATGCTGAGATCAAAGAGGAGAGACAGGTTGAGGTGCTCCATCGCTTCAGAAGACAGCTTGACTTCTTGGTTCTAATCTACAGGAAGTCCTCGTCTTACAACAGTTCATTTAGTGATGTTCAAAGTTACAAAGCGACTTACGACCATTTTTCATACTTAACGACCGTTTTGGCATCCCCATGGTCACATGATGAAAATTCAGACGCTTGGCAACTGGCATGTACTTATGACTGTTGCAGCAGCCCGGGATCACGTGATCCTCTTTTGCGATGTTCTGACAGGCACAGTCAATGGGGGAAGCTGGATTCACAACAACCATGTAACTAACTTAACCACTGCAATGATTTGCTTAACAACGACGGTTGTAAAATGGGGCAAAACTCACCTGAAAAATGTCTCACTTAGCAACGGACAGTCTGGGCTCAAATACCTGTAACTCTAGTAGCAAAGGTAGTCTTACTTGCCCCGGCTGTTGTCTAGTGACTAAAAGTAACAACCATCATCCAAGTTGTAGGAATTGGTTAAGACACAATTTCTCCCAACTGGAAGAGTCCTTGCCACAGTTGTTAAATGAATCACTGCAGTTGTAACACAGTTGTTAAGTGAAACGGACTTCCCCCATGGACTTTGCCTATCAAAAGGTCGCCAAAGGGGATCACATGACCCCAGGACACTGCAACCGTCACTAGTACATGTCAGTTGCCAAGCATTTTGATCACGTGACCGTGAGGATGTCGGAACAGTTGTAAATGTGAAAAACAGCCGTAAGCCAATTTTTTCTTCTTTCTTTTTTAAGAAAATTTTTATTGATTTTCTAGTTTTACATTTAAATATTTGAAAAAGCAACGTGGCGGCTGAGTTGATCAATAATTCAATGACATACAAATATCTTTACTACAGATCTCAAATTATTACATTCAATATTTCCTCTCTTTTCCCCTTGGTATTTACTGTCACATATTTAAACTAATGCAATTCTTATTATATCGGTGAAATAAAAATAACTTTCTTACACTGATCAATAATTTTTAGTTTATACACATCCTGGTTGTTTTAACATTCAATCTTTTTAGACAATCAATGTCCTGGTTAGTTTCTCCCAATTTTTAGTTTCCCGTTAATATTTAGATTTAACGTTTAATATTTATAATTTCCAAGTTTTAAATAACCCCAATTCCCTTTATCACAACTCATCCCAAGATCTAATCTTCAGGATACACGTCTTATCTATTTGAATTCTCACCATTTTACACCAACTAATTAACAATACAATGTAACATTTTTATTTTCTGGTAATTTCCAAATATCTTAAATGTAGTAAGCAAAATTTCTCTTATTTCAACATTTCATACTTCCTCTCTTTTTCTCTTAATATCTACTATCTCATATTTAAGCTGGTCATTTTTATTATTACCGCTAAGTAAAAACATATTTATTACATTCATCAATAGGTTTTTAGCATATATATATATATATATATTCATATTCTGAGGTTTTCGCGGGTGTTTGTATGTAGGTCTTTGGTTATTCGGGTTTTCTCCCATGTAAAATTGGAAGTGTTTTGTTGACGTTTCGACGAAGTCTCATTCGTCATCTTCAGGCTGGTGCTTTCGGCTTCGTGCTTCTAGGAGCAATGGTCACATTGTGCTCCTAGAAGCACGAAGCCAAAAGCACCAGCCTGAAGATGACAAATGAGACTTCGTCAAAACGTCGCCAAAACACTTCCAATTTTACGTGGGAGAAAACCCGAATAACCAAAGACCTACATATACATATATATACATATATATATATATATACATACATACATATATATATATTTCTGAGGTTTTCGCAGGTGTTTGTATGTAGGTCTTTGGTTATTCGGGTTTTCTCCCATGTAAAATTGGAAGTGTCTTGCCGACATTTCGACAAAGTCACATTTGTCAGCTTCAGGCTGGTGTTTTCGGCTTTGTGCTTCTAGAAACAATGAACAAGAAGCCGAAAACACCAGCCTGAAGATGACGAATGTGACTTCGTTGAAACGTCGCCAAGACACTTCCAATTTTACGCGGGAGAAAACCCGAACAACCAAAGACTTACATACAAACACTTGCGAAAACCTCAGAAAACATATATATATATATATATAAAACCTTTACATTTAACCTTTATGAGCAAATCAAAATTCAAATTTAACTGTTAATATTTATAATTCCAAGTTTTAAATGACCAAAGTTTTCTTTATCTCAACTCGTAACAATATCTGGTATTCAAAGTATAATTCTTTTCAGTGCCTTTGTTAACTTCAAATGATCACTAAACAAACTGTTGTAAGTCAAGGATTGCCTATGATTAGTTTTTAGGAGTTAGATTGATCTTCTCCTGCGTTACGTCTAGGACGGGGTAGGCAACCTTGGCTCTTTTATGACTGGTGGACTTCAACTCCCAGAATTCCTGAGCCAGCATGGCTCACCTTGGAAACCTCTCCCTTTCCCCTCAGCATGGTTGGCTCAGGAATTCTGGGAGTTGAAGTCCACCAGTCATAAAAGAGCCAAGGTTGCCTACCCCTGTGCTAAGCAGAAGACACAATAAACCACATTACGGCCGTAGCATCATCAAACACGAGGCCTCTTCTTTTCTCAGTTGTAAACATTCATCCCACGTGTGAAGCTGCCTCATGCCACTAGCTAGAGTCATGTATTCTGCTAAGTCAGGATTTTATAATCATGGTTGGTTTTATAGGCTACAATCGTCCGGCTTGTTTACAGAGTTATGACATAAAAGATGGATTTGCACAGCACCTGAAGCAAAGCACAAAAGAGCCAGATTGTAATCTATTATATATAGGAACTACTCAATGCAATCCAGTCCATCTTTTTTACGCTCTCCGGGCTTGTTAGGTTATAGTCCCTTCCGATTTCAATTCATATTTGGGCTGTATGGAGTTGTCTCTCATGTTAGTTTCCCTAATTTCATGAAATATAATAAAAAGCAATGGGGTCCATCATGGTTTCTCATGCAAGCCTCGATCCTTAGTTTAAAGCCTTCAGTTCTGGTGGTTTCTTGTGAAGGTCAAGGGGCAACCTGCTAACTGGGTTTGTCTCCCCCAAAGCCGCCTTTTGGGTCATAATGGGCTTAATATTCTATGCAGGGGGAGGCAACCTTGGCTCTTTTATGACTCGTGGACTCCAACTCCCAGAATTCCTGAGCCAGCCACGCTGAGGGGAAAAGGAGAGGCTTCCAAGCTGAGCCCTGCCGGCTCAGGAATTCTGGGAGTTGAAGTCCACCAGTCATGAGGGGGCCATAGTTCCCCCATTCTGGCTCAGGAATTCTGGGAGTTGAAGTCCATGAGTCATGAGGGGGCCATAGTTCCCCCATGCTGGCTGAGGAATTCTGGGAGTTGAAGTCCACCAGTCATGAAGGGGCCATAGTTCCCCATGCTGGTTGAGGAATTCTGGGAGTTGAAGTCCAGGAGTCATGAAGGGGCCATAGTTCCCCCATGCTGGCTCAGGAATTCTGGGAGTTGAAGTCCACCAGTCATAAAAGAGCCAAGGTTGCCTACCCCTGGTCCAGGAGGAACCACGCAAGGCCACAAATCCCAGCAACGAGGCAAAAGTCGGATTTACCCTTTCCAGTTTCTCAGGAACTAGTTCCTCCTTGGGGCCGCTGGTCTCTTCTTCTTCTTCGTCTCGTTTCTTCTTCTGACTCTTCTGCTGCCGCTCTCGTTCGGCGTGCTTCCTCTCCTCCTCCAGCTTGGCTTTCTTCTGCGCCCGCCGTTGTTTGCTAAGCATCTTCTTCAGTTCTTTGGCAGAAAGATTTTCTGTAGGAAAAAAAAAACAGAACATCTGTGATCTGTCCCAGCCTATGTGAGTCCTTGTTACGCTCACAAGGAGAAACTCCTCTTCCAAACAAGCAGGCTGGAACTGCAAGAAAAAAACCAATCCCCTTTTATTGCTCACAGACCTGAGTCAATGTCCAAGGCAAACAAACACAGTCCACAGAAACTCGATCCTCAACACGAACCACCAGCACCTCCCACAACTTCTCTTTTATTATTCAGCCAAGGTGTGGCTTCCTAATGCCTTCTCCTTTGCCTTTGGAGCAGCCCCATTGCATTCCTCTGTCCTACTCGCATTCGTGCATCCAGGATTTGTCCCAGCTGTTCTTCATCACTGTCCAACTCAAGACTCCCACACAGCTGTGTCTCAGCCTGAGCGTGAATAGAGGGGCCAGGCTCCTCGTCAGACTGTAAGTTTTGGAGCTCCTCAGAGCTTCCTCTGACTCTGATGTGACTCCAGCCCCCCCTCCTCCGCCTGATTCCTCACACTCAGCTGTCGGGTCCCCTGGCTGGTGAGGAATCACAACAGTCTGTTTGGACACGGGCTGAATCCAAGGTCAGGAGATTTAACAAAAATCACGAAAGGCTACGAAAATACAAATTTAGCCCCTGCATTCAGCTTCTCCAGGTGCTCCTCGATTTACGACCACAATTGAGCCCTCAGTTTATGTCGCTAAGCGAGACACTTCTTCGGTGAGTTTGGGCCCATTTTAGGACTGTTCTTGCCCCTGTGGGTTAAGCGAATCAACTGCAGTTGTTCACTTGTTGAATGAAGCTGGCATTCCCTGTTGACTCTGATTGTCAAGACGGTCGCAAAAGGGGGTCACAGGACCGCTGGACGCTGTGCGGCCATCGTAAGTATGAGTCGTTTGCCAAGCGTCTGGATTTGGATTGTGGGAGTGCGGGGACGCTACATAGCTCGTAAGTGTGAAAAATGGCCATTAGTTACTTTTTTTCAGCGCCGTTGAACAGTCACTGAATGATTATGAGGGCTACCTGTATTCTAATTACTGATAAAGGAGAATATTTGTAGCTTAGGGCTGAAATGTGGGGGGCTTGGTGCTCGCTGAGCTTGGTTGTTTCCTGCAGACGTTTCATTACCCAAACTAGGTAACATCATCAGTGCTGGAAGGGAGTGGAGTTTGCGGAGAGGAGGAGGAGGAGGAGAGTGTGGGATCCTTGGTGCTCTCTGAGCTTGGTGGTTTTCTTGGAGACATTTTATGACCAAACTAGGTAACATCATCAGTGCTAGAAGGGAGTGGGATTTGTGGAAAGGAGGAGGAGGAGAAGGAGGAGGACTGTGGGATCCTTGGTGGTCTCCAAGCTTGCTTGTTTTCTTGCAGACATTTCATTACCAAACTAGGTAACATCATCAGTAATGGAAGGGAGTGGGGTTTGCAGAGAGGAGGAGGAGGAGGACTGTGTGGTTCTTGGTGCTCTCTGATCTTGTTTTCTTGCAGACGTTCCATTACCAAACTAGGTAACATCATCAGTAATGGAAGGGAGTGGGGTTTGCAGAGAGGAGGAGGAGGAGGACTGTGTGGTTCTTGGTGCTCTCTTATCTTGTTTTCTTGCAGACGTTCCATTACCAAACTAGGTAACATCATCAGTGCTAGAAGGGAGTGGGGTTTGTGGAGAGGAGGAGGAGGAGGAGGAGGAGGAGGAGGAGGAGGAGAAGAAGAAGAAGAAGAAGAAGAAGAAGAAGAGGAAGAGGAAGAGGAAGAGGAAGAGGAAGAGGAAGAGAAAGAGGGAGAGGGAGAAGAAGAAGGAGAAGAAGGAAGAGAAGGAGGAGAAAGAGGAAGAAGAAGAAAAAGAAGAAGAGGAGGAGGAGGACTGTATGGCTCTTGGTGCTCTCTGAACTTGATTGTTGTTTTGCAGATGTTTCATTACCCAAACTAAGTAACATCATTAGTACACGTGATGTTACCTAGTTTGGCGCTGATGAAGTTAGCTAGTTTGGCTAATGAAACGTCTGCAAAACAACCACCAAGCTCACTGAGCACCAAGGACTCCACAGCCCCCACCCCTCCTCCTCCCCCTCCTCCCCCATAAACCCCACTTCCTCCTAGCACTGACGACGTGACCTAGTTTGGCTCACGAACCGTCTGCACGAAAAACCACCAAACTCAGATACTCCCAGGACTCTCTTTGCCCTCTGAAACACCACAACGAAAAGCCCAACAACTTGTATCTGCATCAGGCTGAAAAACAAAGCCAAACACGACTCTGGATTTCTTATCGGGCAAATAAACCGACATCTGGAATTGCCGTTCGGAAACAAATCCAAACCTCTGTGCGACGGAAGCTTAACGTACCTGAATTCACTTCCTGTTCTTTGCTCTCGCTGGCCAAGGGGTTGTCGTGAAGCTTCAAGTAAATTTCGATGGCCGATCGAGCGGCCTTGAAGTAAAAAGCGTGTTTCCGTAGCACGTCTTCCAGCCTCAGGAGGTCGACGTAGGCACGCAAGGTCATCTTCCTCATACAGTACGTGTGGAAGTCAAACTGGTCGTCTGTGATCTCAAAGAAGTGCTGAAAGACAGAGCAGAGAACAGAATGACAGAGTTGGGAGGGAGCTTGAAGGTCTTCTAGTCCAGCCCCCTGCTCAAGCAGGAGAACCTAGAGCGGGGGTAGGCAACCTTGGCTCTTTTAGGACTTGTGGACTTCAACTCCCAGAATCCCTGAGCCAGCCATGCTGAGGGGAAAGGGAGAGGTTTCCAAGCTGAGCCATGCTGGCTGAGGAATTCTGGGAGTTGAAGTCCTCGAGTCATGAAGGGGCCATAGTTACCCCATGCTGGCTGAAGAATTCTGGGAGTTGAAGTCCACCAGTCATCAAGGGAGCCATAGTTCCCCCATGCTGGCTCAGGAATTCTGAGAGTTGAAGTCCACAAGTCATAAAAGAGCCAAGGTTGCCTACCCCTGGTACAGGGTATATATGGTTAGGACAAGGATAGGCAACCTTGGCTCTTTTATGACTCGTGGGCTTCAACTCCCAGAATTCCTGAGCCAGCATGGGGGAAATTTTGGCCCCTTCATGACTCGTGGACTTCAACTCCCAGAATTCCTGAGCCAGCCATGCTGAGAGGAAAGGGAGAGGTTTCCAAGCTGAGCCATGCTGGCTCAGGAATTCTGGGAGTTGAAGTCCATGAGTCATGAAGGGGTCATACTTCCCCCATGTTGGCTCAGGAATTCTGGGAGTCGAAGTCCACCAGTCATAAAAGAGCCAAGGTTGCTTATCCCTGCCCTAGACTGTTTCAGACAAATGTTTGTCCAATCTCTTCTTAAAAGCCGCTAGTGATGGAGCACCCACAACGTCTGGTGGCAAGCTGTTCCACTGGTTAATTGTCCTCACTGTCGGGAAGTTTCTCCTTAATTCCAGGTTGCTTCTCTCCTTGATAATCTTCCATCCGTTGTTTCTTTTCTTGCCTTCTGGGGCTTTGGGGAATAGTTTCAACCTATTCTCCAAAGTATTTCTGACAACCTCTCAACTACTGGAAAACTGCTCTCATGGCAAAGCCCCAAAACACATACATGTTGCAGTTGATCATTTAGGGATGAGTGAACTTTACAAAGATGGTGTGTTGCTTGCCAATAACTGGCCCACCATAATGCATTTTTTTAAATAAATCTAAGAATGTCGGAAATGTAAAAACATAAGTCAGGTTACCTGTCATCATGTATGGTGGACATATGTTAAAGCAAAGAGGTACTGGGAAAAAAAATACATACTTGGCTAGAAAAGGTGTTGGGAAAACATGTAGATTTTAAACTTGAACTTTTTTTTAATTATGTATTATGCCAGAAAAGATTGATAAACGAAGTATATACTTAATAATAATAATAAAGTTGGAAGGGACCTTGGAGGTCATCTAGTCCAACCCCTTGTTCAGGCAGGAAACCCTATACCTTTCTGGACAAATGGCTGTCCAGTCTCTTCTTAAAAACTTCCAGTGTTGGAGCATTCACCACTTCTGGAGGCAGGTTGTTCCACTGGTTAATTGTTCTAACTGTCAGGAAGCTTCTCCTTAGTTCTAGGTTGCTTCTCTCCTTGATCAGTTTCCATCCATTACTTCTTGTCCTGCCTTCAGGCGCTTTGGGGAATAGCTTGACTCCCTCTTCTTTGGGGCAACCCCTGAGATATTGGAAGACTGCTATCATGTGCCCCCTCGTCCGTCTCTTCATTAAACTAGATATCCCCAATTCCAGCAACCATTCCTTATATGCTTTAGCCTCCAGTCCCCTAATCATCTTTGTTGCTCTTCTCTGCCCTCTTTCTAGAGTCTCAACATCTTTTTTACATGTGATAGCAGCATCTTGGCGTGGTCCAGGATGCTCATGGTTTCCTAACTAGGGTGAAAATCTGTCCATCTGTTGTAAAATTCAGGAGTTATCACCATGTCTTCTGACTGCCAGTTGGTGTTCATTGGATGCCTTCTGCCAGTCTTCAGCCCGTTTGTCATTGTTACAGTTCTTACAATTTAGGTTGTAGATGACTCCTCTTTTTTCTTCTGGGGTTGCTGGAATTTTTGTGTACTTATGACGTGGTGGTGAACCTATGGCATGGGTGCCAGAAGGGGGCACTCGGAGCCCTCTGTATGGGCATGTGCGCCTCGCTCTTTGGCTAGGTTTTCGCAGGAAAAAAACATTTTTCAAGCCCCTTCCTAGCCAAAACAAGCCTCTGGAGTGAGCGCGCTCTTTTCAGCTTTGAATTATATCCAATCTGACACCAGAAACAAGACTAACAGATGACCCGAGTGCTGCATGTGTTGCTCTCAAACTTACAAAATATGAGCCAAGCTTAGGCAAATGATCAGCAGGTATACAACAGCAAAAATCACATTAATGGTTCCAAAGCGTGCCAAACGCAAAAAAGTTGCTTGTATCATTGAAAGCTTTGTTATTCTGTTTTTCTTTTAAGACAAAAGAGGTTAATGGATGAGTTGTTTTTTTTTTTTAAATTGAAACCTCATTCTTCAGATTAAATTGCCATGTTGGCACTCTGCGATAAGTAAGTGGGTTTTGGGTTGCAGTTTGGGCACTCGGCCTCTAAAAAGTTCGCCATCACTGACTTAGGATGTTTTGAAGGGCTGTGGTTGGCTTGCGTGTTACGGCGATACTACTGGGTGAAATCATCTGCTAAGGGTTTCTGAGATGATTTTGGTGGATGGCAGTGTGATCTTTCCTTAGTGCCTGTTTAATGGCGGTGGCTGATTTGCGAACTCGCTCTCGTCTTACAACGAAGCAACACTTTAACGACATAATTTCCAACATGGGAAAAAACAACAACACCAGGCTTTACAATTTTACAAAGCCTTTTCCAACCCTGCCATTCCTTTGAAAGGAAGACTGGGTGTTGTTTTTTCCCCCAAGAAACTTAAGTTCAAATCAGAAAGATTTGCTTAGAAAGGAGCTTACTACCCTGTGGTAGTAAGTCTGATTCTTTCTCCTTTGGGTTCGGTTCTGTTTTGCGGCCGGATCCTGTTGAATTTGGGATCCTTTCCTTACTGATGCTCTTCGGAGGGCGTGTGAATCCAGCCCACGTTCGTTAGGGAGAAGTGGGGATCAGGGGAAAAAAAAAGAGAAATCCATCCGTTGATCGTCTTACCCTCTCCACTTCGTGGCACTGTTTCAGAGCTTCGCCATATTTTCCTAATCTTTGAAAAGCGAGAGCGCATTCGGTCTGAAACCACATGCACTGCATTTCGTTGAGATTCTCCGTGGCCGAGGTCCCTTCCTGGGAAACAAGAAAAGTACTTTAGAAATAGTCTTAATCTATTAAGAGGCCCTGTAAAAATACTTCCTTCCCCATATGCTCCAATACTGTCGTTACCCTCATTATATTTACAACTCTTTCTTTCTTTCCTTCCCTTCTTCTTCCTTCCTTTTCTTCCTCCCTCCCTCCATTTCTTCTTTCCTTCTTCCATTCCTTCCTTCCATTTTTTCTTTCCTTCATTCCATCTTCCTTCCTCTATTTCTTCGTGCCTCCCTCCCTTGCTATCACAGCAATAACTCCAATACCTTATCCTTATATTTACAACTCCGTCTTTCTTTCTTCTTTCTTTTTTCTTTCCCTTCTTTCCTCCTTCCTTCCATCTTCCTTCCTTTCTTTTCTTCCTCCCTTCATTTCTTCTTTCCTTCTTCCATTCCTTCCTTCCCTCCATTTTTTCTTTCCTTCATTCCATCTTCCTTCCTCTATTTCTTCTTGCCTCCCTCCCTTGCTATCACAGCAATAACTCCAATACCTTATCCTTATATTTACAACTCCGTCTTTCTTTCTTCTTTCTTTTTTCTTTCCCTTCTTTCCTCCTTCCTTCCATCTTCCTTCCTTTCTTTTCTTCCTCCCTTCATTTCTTCTTTCCTTCTTCCATTCCTTCCTTCCCTCCATTTTTTCTTTCCTTCATTCCATCTTCCTTCCTCTATTTCTTCGTGCCTCCCTCCCTTGCTATCACAGCAATAACTCCAATACCTTATCCTTATATTTACAACTCCGTCTTTCTTTCTTCTTTCTTTTTTCTTTCCCTTCTTTCCTCCTTCCTTCCATCTTCCTTCCTTTCTTTTCTTCCTCCCTTCATTTCTTCTTTCCTTCTTCCATTCCTTCATTCCTTCCTCTATTTCTTCGTGCCTCCCTCCCTTCCTATCACAGCAATCACTTCAATACATTACCCTTATATTTACAACTCCGTCTTTCTTTCTTTCCCTTCTTTCCTCCTTTCTTCCATCTTCCTTCCTTTCTTTTCTTCCTCCCTCTCTCCATTTCTACTTTCCTTCTTCCCTACATTTCTTCTTTCCCTCCTTCCATCTTCCTTCCATTTCTTCCTCCCTCATCACAGCAATCACTCCAATACATTATCCTCATTATATTTACAACTCCGTCTTTCTTTCTTTCTTTCTTTCTTTCTTTCTTTCTTTCTTTCTTTCTTTCTTTTTCTTTCTTTTTCTCTCTCTCTCTCTCTCTCTCTTAACACATGAAGAAATGTGTTCTTCCTAGAAATGTATCACTACTTCTATTCAGACTCAATTTTTTAAAAAACAAAAACAGTGCTATTTTATACTTAATAGACATCTCTAAATATATCAAAAGTGTATTTGAGATGACTCGGCAAAAAAGTATATAACAACAGATGCATTCTTTAAAAAAAAAGAAAAGGAAAACCAAGGTTTACTTCTATTAACCTTTTGTGATAATAAATTATTTTTCTTTTACCCGTGTGAACTTGGAACACATCTCCTCAGCATCCTTGACCATATTTGCTCGCAGCATGTACTTTGCACACTTGGAATTGATAAATCTGTCTGCCGTATCCAGGGATTGGGCCTCATCCATCCATTTGGCAGCTTCCTTGAGGTTGCCTACATGCTAGGGGGCAAGAGAATCTGTTTTTAATTTCATTTCATTCAATAACAAGTGCATCAGGCAGAGTCTGAAAAGGTAGCATTTTTTTTTTTTTTAAAAATCTCCTTTGCTCGAAATGTTGGAAGGATAAAATGACAGCCATCTCTATCCTATTTCATTATGTAAGAAATAAACTCGGACTATACTGATAAAAATAAAAAAAGATCATAATTAGAAAACTGTCATGGTTGACAAATCACATCAGTAATTGCAGAACATTAGAGCAAACCTAGATTTCTCAAGAACAACAAGTAGTAGAAAAGCCAAATCCTAATTCTCTTTCTTCCTAATGTTACAGGTTCAGAGGCACTGGTACTCTAACATCATGTTCTGCTCTGAATTGACGTCTGTAAATCAGCATTCAACAGTTAATCATTTTTTTTAAAAACAAAAAGCAAAAATGAAAACAATAAATTCAAAAAGTGGAAGTTAATACCCAGGCATGCTTAAGAAAACGAAACTGACGACAGGAAAGTGTAGATGCCCAGTTAACTTTTTGATCGCTTCCAGAGGGAATTGGAATCCTCAAGACCTCCTCACTTCCCAACTGGGTCCATAATTATCCAAAAGTCCTCTTGGGTCATTCCTCCATGCTCCCCTTCAAAATAAGGGAGCAGCACTGCCAAAAAACCGTCTTTGGTAGTAAAATCAGTAGATTGTTGGTAAGAAAAAAAAAAGAGCTCTTACTGTGCAGCAGCCATCTTGGGAGAAAGTCCCTGAATTCATATTTGGGGGTTGGTAACAACCCATAAATATTTTCTACAAGGTCAAATGACTTAATCAATAAAGATTCTATTCTATCCTGTTCTATTCTACTACATACTGCTCTACTCTACTTCTATACTAATTCTACTTCCATTCTAATTCTACTTCCATTTCATTCTAATTCCATTCCATTCCATACTTCTCTTCTCTACTACTCTTCTCTAGTTATTCTACAAGTCAAATCATCCTGCTCTTCACTATCTAGCTTTGTCTTCAGTTGCATTATCAAGTTATACCAAATATATACACACCGATGACATATTCCGAATACGAGCTGTTTAAGGAAGTGCAATTACCTTATAAATTTTGGCTTTCAAATAGAACAACTCTATTAACGTCGGAGTACTAGTCACAGCAGAATTAATGTAATCCAATGCCAAGGAAAATTGGCCAAGCTTATCAAAGTGCTGGGCAAGGAAATAACGAACCCAAAGCAGCGTCGTTGGCGGTTCTTGTTCTCCATTTTCTGCAACACACACAGAACATTTCCCAACACTTAACTAGAAGTATGTATTATCAAAATGCTGGGTTCTCAGAAAACAGATTCCCCCTGTGAAGATATACCAGCCCAGATTACACTCATTAAACTTTGTTATTTCAGCTCTGTTCCTCAGCTCTGAAGCTTACCATCTGGACTGAACATGTGGCAGGTCTTCAAAGAAGCTTCGTAACCAATCACGAGCTCCTGGATGGCTGAAATCTACAAACGAGAGTTTAGATGTTTGTGTGAAAATACACTCCCGTGGTCACTGCCTCAATTAATGTTCATTTGTTCGCTATGGAAAGCACATCACTCAACGAACAAGTAACATTGCGATTTCTTATTTGTTAGAATGTTAAGGAGCTTTCTGTATAACTCACACTACTACAGAGTTCCCCAACGGGGGGGGGGGGGGGGAGAAGAGAGGATGGTTCCACATGAGCGGTTAGCAAGCATGTGCGCAAAGCTCCATTTGCACAGTTTGCATGTATACCCGCCACTCATACACAGATGGAGCACACGTGCACACGCTCACCCGCTGCTCGGACAAGTGAGGATGTACGTGCGTATGCTCGAATGCTGTTTCCGTGACCCAGTTGCAAAAAGCCCAGAGGTTGATAACTCCTGCACTATTATACATCCTTGAAAACACTTCCTTGGAAAACCACTAGATGGCAATAAAGAGCGTTGCCTGCCTCTCTTTGCTGCCATCTAGAGTCTCTTTCTGCAGCAACCCTAGTTATTTTCCCAATAAAATGTTGGGTGTTTTCGTATTTTTTCCCCCTTAACATTTTATTAAGCTTATCAAATACAAAATACAAGTTAAAATGAAGATAATGGGAAAGGGGGAGAGGGAGAAAAGGGGGAGAGAGAAGTATGGGGTTAAAAAAAAAGCATTGACTTTCAAATATTTTCAGCACGGTAGAATAAAGGTATTAACATTGCAGGCTCAACTTTCCACTTTTGCATATTTCGTCTCTAGTAACCGTTTCTATAATAACACATTTATCTAAATAGCAAATCCCAAAATCAGAATTCCACTGTTTTTCTATCTCAAGCATAGAATCTAAAAGCGGTTTCCAAGTTGAAACAAAATGGAATGCATTCTTTCATTTAATCAAAGCAAGGAATGTGACCCTCTCTGCCAGCTTCATTGATTCTTCCATTGTGGGACTTAGTATATCCATATTTTTTTCCTGAAGTTACACTGAGTGGTATAATCTGGTTTATTTTTTTTCCCCCAACAAGAACCCACTTCCCCACTGGTTCCATCCAACATATATTGCCAGACAGTAACAATTATTGTTAAATGGTTTGTAAAATAAGTAAATGCTCTTTTATATATTCATATATGTATTAGTGTGTGTGTGTGTGTGCACACGTATGCATGCTAGGATTGTAAGAAAACTGACCTTTTCTGTGCTGTAATACAAAGATTTCAAAGTAGTAAACAGGGGTGGGCAACCTTTACTGAAGTAAACCCGTAGGAATTTATCCAACAGTTCTCTAAATTTTTCACCTAGAAGCAAAAACATATCAATTATATCACAAGAACTCTACGTTCATTTTGCATAAAGTACGAAAAAATTTCAAAAATGGCAATATTTAAAAAAAAAACTATTTTGAGAAGTTTATACTGTAACTTGCATTCCCCCAGAAAAATGGTGTGGAAATTGGGTCAATTTGCATAATATATGTAGATTGCAGTTAAGCAACCTGATTTTTTTAGACTGCTGGGGAGGAATTCGTTCTCAAAACCCATAAGGTACAGTACATGAGAGTTTGCTACTGCATCTCTGGATGGAATTAACAATAGTCACAAGGTGTTCAGTCACTACATCACCTATTAAAACTAGCGGCTAATATTAGATGCTGGAATACATCAAATGCAAAATTGATTGTGAATTATACAGAAAATACCTAAATATGTATAAGAATTACTCATCCCCCCCCCCGCGTATGGCTGGTTTGCATGCAAGCTATCAAAGTTTTGACGAACAATCTTGTTTTGCAATTTCAATTTAGAAAGTGATGGGAGTCAATATTTTTTATAATTACAGTACTGGCCAAAATTGTAGAAACCTTGTGTACAGCAGAAATGCCACCCATTTTTCTTCTAATTTCTAACTATAGCCTTGTTCGCTTAATAAGACTATTTTACATTGCTTTCTGGGCAGCCAGCCAACTCTTTGCACCATTATTTTAATTTTATTACGTTTTACAAGCTCACTAAATGAAAGAACACCAAAAAAAACCTAACCAATTTGATAGCGATCACGTAACACACTGACAAATGTCCTCCTCTCAGCTTCAATATATGACATCAATAACTGAATCCTACTGTGATCTGATTGGCTCATGGCCAAAACAAGATGACACCTGATTGGCTCTCTAAACATTCATGCTCATTGGCTACAATCAGATGAAGGAAAGCTACCTGATATCAACCTAAGCAATCACCAGGAGACTGTGAGTTCTTAGGCATGAAATCTGGATGGGTGACTTTGGGCCAATCACCAGGAGACAGTGAGTTCTAGTCCCGCCTTAGGCAAGAAAGCCAGTTGGTTGACCTTGGACCAATCACCAGGAGACGGTGAATTCTAATCCTGCCTTATGCATGAAATCTGGATGGTGACTTTGGGCCAATCACCAAGAGACTGTGGGTTCTAGTCCTGCCTTAGGCATGAAAACCAGCTAGGTGAGGTTGGACCAGTCCCTTTCTCTCAACCCAGCTCATCTCACAGGATTGTTTTGGGGAAAATGTCTGCTGCCTTGGGTTGTTCATAAAAATACAACAGACGGGATACAAATAAATAACAACAACAAAAAAATACTTTGGGTATCTTTCTGGCAGGTGGGCAAAACCTCCAAACTCATCACTCGTGTTGATTGCAAAGAGCTAGCTGAGTCTTTCCGATTAAATGATCAATATCCCCAAATTCCCAGGAAACAGCTTTTAGCCACAGCAACAACTGTTACGGGTTATTGGATCTGAATAAAATCCAGCTACACGGAGCTTTTCTTAAAAGCCCACATGGTTTTCTTACGCCGGAATGCTTTGTGTCTGAAAATTGCTTTCTGGTTCATGGCGGTGCCTAAACAAAATAAAATATATATTTTGGAAAAACAAAAACACCAAAGACGAATTTTCCATTGCAGAGGAAATGGAAATGGAAAAAAAATAAACCAGCCAAAACTTTTTAAATATCGCGAAGCAGTACTACATACAGAAAAGCAGCAACGTTACCTGTGACAAAGTTCAAAGGTAGCCTTCTAGGGGAAACAGCCCGGGGATGTCGCTTGCTTATTTCTTCATATGTTTCTAGCCTCTCTTCTAAAGAATCTATGGATGGATGACAAATGTAAAATTGGAGTTGTTATGTCTTGAAAGTCACACGGTTCAGGAACAAGCAGTAATGCAGAACACTGCATTACTATGCTGAGCAAAATCCAATTACAGTAGTGGCCAAAATTGTGGAAACCTTTTGGGAAAAATGTACATTTGAGGTTTGATATCACTTTTTTTTGGAGTAGTACCATAAAATTATATACCAGTGGAAAGATAATTTAATCAAGAATGTAATGCAGCAAAGTTTGTTCAATTATCTGTACTATATTCTATGAAAGGTTATAGCCAAATAACCAGAAAAAGGAAGCACCATTTGCTTAGGTTGATCTCAGGTGGCTTTCCTTCACCTGATTATAGCCAATGGGCATAAGTGTTTAGAAAGCCAATCAGGTGTCATTTTGTTTTGGCCATGAGCCAATCAGATCACAGTAGAATCTAGTGATTGATGTCATGTATTGAAGCTGAGAGACGGACATTTGTCTGTGTTATGTGATTGCTATAAAGTTGGTTGGGTTTTTGGGTGTTCTTTCATTGAGTGAGTTTGTAAAACGTAATAAAATTAAAGTAATGGTGCAAAGAGTTGACCGGTCATCCAGAAAGCGATGTAAAATAGTCTTATTAAGTGAACAAGGCTACAGTTATAAAGAAATTAGAAGAAAAATGGGTGGAAACTTAACCAAAGGTGGCATTTCTACTGTACACTTTTCCCAAAAGGTTTCCACAATTTTGGTCACGACTGTATTCTATTTCACTTGCCTGATGTTTTCCTGCGAGCTGAGTCTATATTCGTGCAAGCAATAAATCAAGTATTTTTGTTTCCTTTTCACAAGTCATTTTACAACTCACAACCCACGTCCTTAAACAACAGAGTTTCGTTGTGTGAACTCTTCTCCCCAGCAAATAGCGTCCCATCCCATTTTCCCTTCGTTTAAATTTGGATACGGCTCAACGTATCCTTTTTAAACTCGAGTTATAATTTAATATGTTTTTTTTTTAAAAAATCCAAATAAACACAGAGCATAAAGTTCCCTCCAACAGAGAAGCTCAAAATTACTAGAAGCAATATCGAATTGAGTAGGCTCTTTTCACGAACAACAAACCACTGAAATAGTTAAAATATCTCGTGTTCAGACAAGGAGATATTATTTTCAAGTAACATCTTGCAGGGGCGTTGCAATCAAACGCCACAATGCAACCCACAGTTTAAGCTTAGAGAGACTGCAACGAATATCCACAGACAGTCCTCACCTACAACTGTTCAACATTACACTACTGCAAAGAGTGACTTTATGACCGTTATTCACACTTACGACCACTGGTATGGGCTCAAGATCTCAGGATCAAAATTCAGACGCTCGGCAACTGACTCATATTTATGACGGTCGCAGTGCCCCAGGGTCACGTGATCCCCTTTTGTGACCTTCTGACAAGCAAGGTAAGAGATTCACGTAACAGCCGTGTTTGGGGTGTGTGGGTGTCAGAATCCAGAATAACAAGAGTCGGAAGGGACCTTGGAGATCTTCTAGACCAGGGCTTTTCAACCAGTGGTACGGGTACCACCTGTGGTACATTGGCACCTGGCAGGTAGTATGCGACCATCCTAGAAAAGTAGCGGAGGAGAGGAATGAGCTGAACCGGTGGCAGCACCGCAGAAGCCTGAGCGAGAGACGGCTGGAGCTGCAGGGCTGTCAGGGCTCAGCGGAAGCGCCAGGATCAGTGCCGCTTTCCAGCTGATCGGCGCTTCTTCGGGGCTGTCAGGGTTCAGGGAAAGCACCAGGATCTGTGCCAGGCTCCAGCTGGAGCTCAGCGCTGATCCTGGTGTTTCTGCTGAGCCCTGAACAAGCACCAATCAGCTGGAAAGCAGCACTGATCCTGGAGCTTCCGCTGAGCCCAGAAGAAGCGCCGATCAGCTGGAGTGTTGCAGCATCTCCAGGGTCTTGTGATTTGCATTCAGATGCTTGGCAACTGATTCATATTTATGATGGTCACAGTGTCCCAGGGTCATGTAACTGACCAAAACCTGCTGCAACCACCCAGCAGACGGGGGGGGGGAGATAAAAACCAAACACCCCCCTCGGACAGGTGTCTTGCTCGGCTGTGGCTTGGGGGCACTTTTTTCAGTGCCAAAGTAACTTCGAACAGTCACTAAGCAAACTGTTGTAAGTCAAGGACTACCTGTACTTTATCGATTTTTTTTTTTTTGGGTTATCAAGTTTTTGACACCTTGCTAGGCGACTGGTGGTCCTCGGATATTGCCATATACTAAAAGTGGTACAATGGGTGAAAAGGTTGAAAGTCGTTGAGGCCACTTGTTGTAAATAGGAGATAGAATACAATAGAGCTGGAAGGGAGCTTGGAGGTCTTCTAGTCCAACCCCCTGCTCAGCCAGGAAACCCTATACCCTTTCTGACAAATGGCTGTCCAATCGCTTCTTAAAATGGGACAAAACTCACTTCAATTTCGGGTGTACGTCAAAGACAATCCATATTCCTTCAAATGAAAGGCTCCTGGGACACCATATTTTTTTCAAAGCCCCCACCCCCTTAAACTGCTGGAAGCGAAATGTATAATTCCTTTTCGTACGTGGCTGCAAAGCTTTTTCCAGGCCTTCGTAGTAACTCCAACATTCTGCGTTCCGATCAATAAGTTCCTGGTAGATCTCAGCCGCTTCTTCCAGGCGTCCCAAATTCAGCAGCATTTCCCCTGCAGCAATAATATAATCACACCTGACTTTAAAATAAAATAAAATAAAAATGGGAAAGCTTTGGGCGCTGAAAAGGGTCAATTCTTACACTGGCTTCGAAAACAATAACAGCATAGTTAATTCCGATATCCATCTGGTGTACCCCGGGTATGTCTGGGATGGTGGTGGGGGAGAGTATATTGTTGTTAGTTGCGAAGTCGTGTCCCACCCATCGCGACCCCATGGACCACGTTCCTCCAGGCCTTCCTGTCCTCTACCATCTTCTGGAGTCCATTGAAGCTCACGCCTGCTGCTTCAGTGACTCCATCCAGCCACCTCCTTCTCTGTCGTCCCCTTCTTCTCTTGCCCTCCATCTTTCCCAGCATCAGGCTCTTCTCCAGTGAATCCTCATTAGGTGGCCAAAGTACTTGAGTTTCAACTTCAGGATCTGGCCTTCTAAAGAGCAGTCAGGGTTTATCTTCTCCAGACCTTCCTGTCCTCTACCATCTTCTGGAGTCCATTTAAGCTCACGCCTACTGCTTTAGGGACTCCCTCCAGCCACCTCCTTCTCTGTCGTCCCCTTCTTCTCTTGCCCTCCATCTTTCCGAGCATCAGGCTCTTCTCCAGTGAGTCCTTCCTTCTCATTAGGTGGCCAAAGTACTTGAGTTTCAACTTCAGGATCTGGCCTTCTAAAAAGCAGTCGGGGTTGATTTCCTCCAGGCCTTCCTGTCCTCTACCATCTTCTGGAGTCCATTGAAGCTCACGCCTACTGCTTCAGTGACTCCATCCAGCCACCTCGTTCTCTGTCGTCCCCTTCTTCTCTCGCCCACCATCTTTCCCAGCATTAGGCCCTTCTCCAGGGAGTCCTTCCTTCTCATTAGGGGGCCAAAGTACTTGAGTTTCAATTTCAGGATCTGGCCTTCTAAAGAGCAGTCAGGGCTTAATAATAAACGCAGAGTATATTACATTATCATAAATGGTCCAAACCCAATCCCTCTTGAATTCCGTTTACCCTTATCTGGCGCCAAATTGGTATCAACGCTAGTTTTGCTTTTCATCCAAGAAGCTTCAACCCAGTGCAACTGAAGAAGCTTCTGGGAGGAGAAGCGAAACATTTTCAAAGAAAAAAAAAAAAACACCAGAAAAGTCCTGTTGCTTTTTGGGAGGGGGAAAAAAAAACCCTAGCACTTTTCAAATGAGAAAAATTATACCCTTTAAATTCCAGTTTTATACAAAGGGATGGCGGATTGGGGAAAACCTCCGATTTAAAGTTCCGCTAAGAAAAGGAACAGGGCTATGAAAAATGGAGGATAATTAAGAGGCTTACGAAAATTAAATTACCTTTAATTTCGTCTTTCATGAGTTTATCGCAGATTTGCCTTTCGTAAGTCTCTATGTGGTCCAACGATTCTTGAAAGAGGTCTGCTTCTCTCATCACTTGATTCTGATACAATATTAATTCACTATATTCGTAGTCGATTTTGTTTGGGGGGACCTGAAAAACAACCCAATAGATTTGATATTTGGTTGGGTAGCGTTACGACATCAAAATGCTTCTTTTTTTTTTTTTCAAATGAAGAAACCAGAAAACGTGAAGTTTAGGAAAAATCTGCACTTGAAACAATGCAGAATAGATCATTTGACTGGACGATTTCTTCTATTCCGCCGGACTTTTGTCGCTTTTGATATATGGGCCGAGGTGGCGCAGCAGTTAGAGTGCAGTACTGCAGGCCACTTTAGCTGACTGTGTTCAGCAGGTCAGTGGTTCAAATCTCACCGGCTCAAGGTTGACTCAGCCTTCCATCCTTCCGGGGTAGGTAAAATGAGGACCCAGATGGTTGGGGGCAATGTAAAATATATATATACATTGCTTACTGGTGTACACCGCTTAGAGAGTGCTCGCACTTAAAGCGGTATATAAGTCTCATAAATAAATAAATAAATAAATAAATGGGCAACGTCAGCATCAGAAAAGGTTGTTTCAAGTGATGATGGCTAGGCCAGCATTATAATATATTTCTGCTCATATTAGCCTACATTCTAAAATGTGGTTGGGACAGACTTTTGGCTTCTTCCTTTGATAAACTGTTTACATACCTGAAAACTTACTAAAAAGAGAATATAAGGACAATGCCTTTGAGTGTAAAAAATAACAAATAACAGAATACCAGAATACAAGAGTTGGAAGGGATCTTGGAGGTCTTCTAGTCCAACCCAATGCTGAATCAAGAGACCCTCTACCATTTTAGACAAATGGGTTGTCCAGTTTCTTCTTAAAAACTTTCAGTGTTGAAGCATTCACAACTTCTAGTGGCAAGCTGTTCCACTGGTTAATTGTCCTCACCGTTAGGACGTTTCTCCTTAATTCCAGGTTGCTTCTCTCCTTGATTAGTTTCCAGCCATTCTTTCTTGTCTTGCCTTCAGGTGCTTTGGAGAATAGCTTGACTCCCTCTTCTTTGGGGCAGCCCCTCAAATATTGGAAGACTGCTATCATGTCACCCCTAATCCTTCTAGACATACCCAATTCTTGCAACTGTTCTTCATATGTTTTAGCCTCCAGTTCCCTGATCATCTTTGTTGCTCTTCTCTGCCCTCTTTCTGGTTTCTACTATCCCTTTGAAATTAATGAACAGATCTTTAATTTCGAATGAAGATCCACTGAACTCAGTGGTGGATATGTATGTTTGCATTGTAAATTATACAACATCTGGACAAAGGTAACAGTTCACTTTTGAGGAACAAAATCGTTTTATGGAAAACTCTGGTTTGTGTTTGTTTTTTTTTTAAACTTAAAATCCATACCACATTATGATGTGCAGTGATTTTCTACGAACTGAAGCAAAAGTTAATTATTAATTAAAAGCAGCAGCATTTCATTTTAAAAACTGCATTTTATTTCCTTCAGGCTTTGGTGATGTGATTTTTTAAAATAGGAGTCACTCTCACAGAGAAATGCAGCTACCCAAAATTCTTATCCGCGGACATTAGGACGGTCCTCTTCTAAATAAAATCTTACCTGTTGGGTTTTCCTAAATTCTTCTAACAATTTTAAGGCCATGTCATAATCTTTTAGCAAATGGTATGCAATTGCATAGCCGATCCATGAGGCTCTCTGAGTGGGTCGGAGCTGAAGTAACTGATATCTGGTTTCCTTTAAAGAAATAACAAACACAGCTAAAAACAGCATTCTAAACAAGGCACATTCTTAATGAAAAATTTAAAATCAATGATACGAAGGATCAAAGCCATCAGAAATAGAAAAAAGCCAAAGAAAAGCTGTCTCAGAAATAAATTCGGGGTTTTAGATGATTAGTTTTATCTATCTATCTATCTATCTATCTATCTATCTATCTATCTATCTATCTATCTATCTATCTATCTATCTTTTTATCCACCCATCCTCTCATCTCTGATCTATCTGTCTATCTATCCATCCATCCTCTCTCTCTCTATATATATATATATACACACACACACATACATATCTTATCTATCTGTATCTTATCTATCTATATCTTAGCTTATCTATCTATCCATCCACCCATCCTCTCATCTCTGATCTATCTATCCATCCAGTCTCTCTCTATATATATACATACACATACATATCTTATCTATCTGTATCTTATCTATCTATATCTTATCTTATCTATCTATTCATCCACCCATCCTCTCATCTCTGATCTATCTTTTTATCTATTTATCCATCCATCCATTCTCTCTCTCTATACACACACACACATACATATCTTATCTATCTATATCTTATCTTATCTCTCTAACTATTCATCCACCCATCCTCTCATCTGATCTATCCATCCTCTCTCTATATATACACACAGACATACATATCTTATCTATCTGTATCTTATCTATCTATATCTTATCTTATCTATCTATCCATCCACCCATCCTCTCATCTCTGATCTATCTATTTATCTGTCTATCTATCTATCCATCCATCCTCTCTATACACACACACACACATCTTATCTATCTGTATCTTATCTATCTATATCTTATCTTATCTTATCTTATCTATCTATCTATCTATCTATCTATCTATCTATCTATCTATCTATCTATCTATCTATCTATCCGTCTATCTATCTATCTATCTGTCCATCTATCTATCCGTCCATCTATCTATCTATCCATCCATCTATCTATCTGCTCTACAAATCCATTTAGCATTTCAATGAGTGATTAAGTGCTGCAGACAAATGGATTTAAGTGAGGCAATGATTGATTGATTGATTGATTGATGAAACATAAGCACTTACTCTGTATCCTTCGAGATCTCTCATCTGGATCTGCAGCAGCGAAAGGTCTCTGAGGATCTGCAGGTTGTCTTTATCTAGCTTCAGAGCATTTCGATAGCACTTAATCGCTTCGTCGTATTTTTTATCGGAGCGCTGCAAGAGTCCGTAAACATGCCAACCTAACAGAGTTAAGGAAACGGGCAGATCCTGTTTGCTGAAGGCAAATTATGCCGGCCTTAGCGCAAATTGCTCATCGCGGATTTGGGGGTCTGCCCTGGGACGTAGTCCAGACGAGAAGCACACCCAAGGGATAGCTCTAACTTAACTCTGTCAGGGTAAACAGAGGCATGTAGTCCTCCATTTATGACAGTTCGTTTAGTGACTGTTCAAAGTTACAATGGCACTGAAAAAAGTGACGTTTCTCACACTCACGACCGTTACGGCATCCCCATGGTGACGTGATCAAAATCCAGACACTTGACAACTGACTCATATTTATCCCTGGATCACGTGATCCCCTTTGGCAATCTTATGACAAGCAAAGTCAATGGGGGGGGGGGGCGAGCCAGGTCCACTTAACAATTTTGTTACTAACTTAACAGCTGCAGGGATTCACTTAAGAGCTGTAAGAAAGAAAGGTCACAAAATGGAGCGAAACACACTTAACAAACGTTTCACTGAGCAACATAAATGTTTGGCTCAATCTGAGGTCGTTGAAGAAACTAGGGACTCGTTTCTCGTCCCCAATTTGATAAGGCAGAGTAGTCTAAAAATAATACCGTATTTTCCGGCATATAAGACGACTTTCTAAAGCATGAAAATTGGCTCCGAAGACGGGGGTCGTCTTGTACGCCGAGTCGTCTAATACGCCGGAAAATACGGTAATAATCATCACTTTAATTCATTTTATGTGGACAAGATACTGCATATTTCAGAATGAAGTCTGAGAGCGAGACCTGCTAAGCAAAACCGATGTATAATTTCAAAGGATACACACGTGGCTTTTGACATCGTTACGTAGTCCTTTACGGACAAATTCGTACGCGTCTTCTTTTTTCCCTAAGCAATTCAGCGTCAGCCCTTTCATTGCCAGCGTCTCTGGAAAAAGGAAGAGGGTCTTACTTTTGAAATTATAAACCGTAAGAGACGTTTTGAACCCTGATGGGAAATTAAAATTAAAAAAAAAAAAAAAGCAAAAACAGAATACCGATTGAACATATAGATAGTTAAGTGCAAACGCAATTAAGATATCTTTTGGTTAGAAAAGATATTTTAAACTGACGTGATTGATGTTATGAGAAAAACGTAAGGAAGATGTTGATATTAATCTATTAATATCTATTAATAACAACAAGAATTGTATTTGCCTAGTGTGGGAAAACCGGTGCCACCGGAAGAAGAGAGGAAACATTGGATGATATAATATTGGATTTAGATTGAAGAAGTTAATATAGACCACTGAATTACTAATGGACCCAGACAACACATTGTTTATTAATTATTTGATTGTAAAATTAGAAAATTAATAAAACATAAGTAAGTGAAAAAGAAAAAGGGTCAACTTTAGGAATACTGAATCAAGAGACACACTTTAAATATGCTTTCAGGAAGTATAGAGGTAAAAGCTGGATTTCCCCAAAGATGACATCCATAAACTATCTGTGAGGCAACGGCCTCTTAGTAAACAAAGGTTCATTGCACCATTTTGAGGAAAGAAAGTAACTGCCATTTCAAACCTACCTCCATGTTCAGCAAACTTTGGATTGGAGAGGATCATCTTACAGAATTTGAGTCCATTTTTGTATTGTTTTTGTTCATAACATTTCTAAGGAAGGGGAAAAAAAACCAACATGACAAGTGATTTAGCAGATCAAAACCAGCAATGCACACACACGTGCAATAGATGAATATGTCAACTTGAGTTGGACAGATTAATGTCAGTCGCCAAGAATCAGAATCACCGGTTGGGTTGCTGCACTGAAAATTTATTCAAGCCTATACACAAAAACCTGGTCAGAACTAAAGTTCAACACTAAAATGCTGCCAGATAAGAGTCAATGGAAATGGAAATGGAAATAAGTAGAGTAGAGTAGAATAGAATAGAAAATATGGAATGGAATGGAAGAATAGAATAGAATAGAATAAGGAATAGAGTAGAGTAGAGTAGAATAGAATAAACAGATTGGAAGGGACCTTGGAGATCATCTAGTCCAGCCCCCCCCCTGCTCAGGCAGGAAACCCTATACCATTTCAGACAAAAGGTTGTCCAATCTCTTCTTAAAAACCTCCAGTGTTCCAGAATTCAGGAAGAGTTGGACTTGGACCATTTGTGACAATGGAAAGACTCTAAACTGATGACGCATTTAACTCCAGCCCCAGCTCTGCCTGCTCTTTCCCTGCTGAGAATAAGCTAGAGTCGCTACGAGTGAGTGGGCGGCTATATAAATTCTCTTAAATAAATAAATAATAAATACACCTTTCAAGAGAGAACAAACAAAAAGGGGAGGACTATACCAGGGGAAGGCTACCTTGGCTCTTTTATGATGGATGGACTTCAACTCCCAGAATTCCTGAGCCAGTCACGCCGAGGGGACAGGGAGAGGTTTCCATGCTGAGCTATACTGGCTCAGGAATTCTGGGAGTTGAAGTCCACGAGAGCCAAGGTTGCCTACCCCTGGACTATACCAAAATACGATACACTCCTAAGATACTTTAGAAGGACATTCCCTATTTATAAGACCCTCTAATATGGGCACCCCAGCCCTTGTTACTCAATTGAAAGGCTACATGAACTGATTGAATACAGTACTCAGTGAAATATGGCAGGCAACACAAAGGAGAACTAACCATAATTCTAATCAAGCTATCCTCAATTTACAACAGTCCATTTATGGTCTGTTCAAAGTTACAACAGCGCTGAAGAAAGTCACTTACGACTGTTTCTCACACATACGACCGTTTTTCACACTTACGACAATGGTAGCCTCCCCCAGGTCATGTGATCAAAATCCAGAGGGTTGGCCACTGGTTCGTATTTATGACTGTCACAGTGCCCCAAGGGGTCACGCGATCCCCTTTGGCGACCTTCCGACAAGTCAAGTGCATGGGGAAGCCAGATTCACCGAACACAACCGTGCTACCAACTTCACAACTGCAGTGATTCATTTAACAACAGTGGCAAAAAATGGTGGTAAAACAGAACAAAACCCCCTTAACAAATGTCTCGCTTGGCAACAGAAATGTTGAGCTGAGTTGTGGAGGTAAGGGAAAAGGAGGAGCCGTGGCACAGCGGTGTCCCGTTTTTGCGCCCCACGGTGTGGCGTTGGCCCATTTTTACATGCCGCAGCGCGGTGGCATGTTTTTGCGCCCCAAGGTGTGGCGGTGGCCCGTTTTTGCACCCTGGGGTGCAGTGGTGTCCTATTTTTGTGCCCTGCGGCAAGGCAGCGTTCTGTTTTTGCGCCCCAAGGTGAGGTGGTGGCCCGTTTTTGCACCCCAAGTTGCGGTGGCATCCTATTTTTGTGTCCTGTGGCAAGGCAGCATCCTGTTTTTACACCCCAAAGCGTGGCGGTGTCCCATTTTTGCACCCCGAGGTGCAGTGGCATCCCATTTGTTGCTCTTCTCTGCACTCTTTCTAGAGTCTCAACATCTTTTTTACCTCGTGGTGACCAAAACTGGATGCCGTATTCCAAGTGTGGCCTTACCAAGGTCTTGTAAAGTGGTATTAATACTTCACGTGATCTTGATTCTATCCCTCTTGTTAATGCAGCCTAGCACTGTGTTGGCTTTTTTTGGCAGCTGCAGCACATGGCTGGCTCATATTTAAGAGAAAGGGATTGCAAGAGAGTAAGCTGTTTATTTTTCTCCACATTGAGAGCAGAATAGTGAACATCTTTTTGTATTGAAAGCTGTTCCTTTTTCAATTTCTCCACTCAGTGGGACAGACACAGCAACAAAGGCAATGGAGAAAGTCACGAAGAAAATTTATCTAAGAATCGACACCAATTTAATGACACAGAATCCATCAACAATGGAAATGTCTGTTAGGGCTGAATCCTGCAATTAAGAAGTGTACTGTATAAGATGGCTGGACCCAAAACACCAATGAAAGAAACATCGTAGTATACTGCCTTGAGGTATTTTTTTTTTAAATTAATTAGTCTAGTATAGGGGTCCCCAAACCCTGGGCTATGGCCTGTACGGGGCTGTTTGGAACCTGGCCACACAAGCATGTGTGCTTGTGCGCGAAACTCCATTTGTGCGAATGGTGTGCGTGCACACCTACCACTTGCCCGCTGCACGTGCGGAACCATCCCCTCCCCCCCCCGGTAGTCCAGCAAGCCAGAAAGGTTGGGGATCGCTGGTCTAGTAGGTTGAAAAGCCATGGTGGTGCAGTGGTTAGAATGCAGTATTGCAGGCTGACTCTGCCCACAGTCAGGAGTTCGATTCTCACCGGCTCAAGGTTGACTCAGCCTTCCATCCTTCCGCGGTCGGTATAAGTCTAAGTGCTATTGCTATCCATCTTCCCTCCCTCGCTCCCTCCCTTCCTTCCCATGGTGGCGCAGTGATTAGAATACAGTATTGCAGGCTGACTCTGCCCACAGTCAGGAGTTCGATTCTTAGCAACTCAAGGTTGACACATCCTTCCATCCTTCCTAGGTTGGTAACCCAGATTGTTGGGTGCAAATATGCTGACTCTGTAAACCGCTTAGAGAAGGCTATAAAGCATTGTGAAGCGGTATATAAGTCTATTGCTATTGCTATTGAAGGAATGGTTGAATCAATAAACTTCTATTCATATCTGAAAAAGTAAAAGTGGAATTGTATAACTGGGGAAAAAAAGGTTAGAAATTCTGGCTAATCCTCTCCATTTACACCGATTACCAAGAAACCAAAGCAATCCAGACTACAACTAACATTAAAAGTCTGGGCTAAAATAAGAGTTGAACTCATCCTCAGCCAAACACTTGTAATTAACAGCTATTGTCACTGATTACATTTATCATTTTGCATGCGTGAACATTTAAAACGCTGGGTTAAGGAAAGGTGTCAAAAGTAGCTCGTCGCACACGGCAAACTTTGCTGTCTTCTAGAAAAAGGAATCTCTTTGCTGTTCTAAAATTAGGGATTTATTTTTAGCAGACAGCAGAGTGTTAGAGTGACTTGCTAAGAGGCATTCCTAAAACCACATTGCAAGCAAGAAATAGCCGGAACAAGATTTTCTGCTAAAGAGGACGAGCATTGCTAGGCGAAGAACAGGAAGAAAAGATACATACAGGTAGTCCTTGAGTTACGACGGTTCGTTTAGTGAGCGTTCAAATTGACAACGGCGCTGAAAAAAGTAAGATGGGACTAGGATTCACAATCTGCTGGCTTCTAGCCTAGGACTTAACCACTAGGCAAAACTGTTTCACATTGTAAGAGAAAAAAAAAACACACGAAAAAAGTCTACGCCACTTGCAGTTGCTTTCACAGCCACTTTACAAAAATCGCAATTATTGAACAATTTAATGACAGTAATACAAGAGAAAAGTGGCCACTTTCCAAGCCATGAGAACATTCAGAACAATTTAATTCTTATTAGCTATTTTTCTGCTGCCAAAACTGCCAGTATAAAACCATTTAGATGTCAAACCTTGTACTTTCGCACGGATATGATCTAAAACCGAAGATCAAACAATGCATTTATGATTTTCAAGGCATGGAACAAAGTAAAAGAAATATACATTTCTGCATCCTCTCTATTTATGTAACGTGTAATTACGTTTTTTTTAAAAAATAAAATAGCATAACGTTAAAATACGAATTCACGTGCTATCTCTGCTGTCGATATAATGGATTATTTATAATGTGCAAAATAAATGACACTATATTTCATGGGGCATCAATTTATGTAATGGCAGGTCTTTATATCATATGGGTTTTTTTCCCAATAAAACACCAATAAATAGTCAAAAATGATCAAATTACACTATGACGTATTTAATTAATGAACACAGCTAGCATATTCAGTGATGATGAATATACACAGGCGGTATTTGTAGTTCATGTCAACCAATTGTATATCTGATCGTGGTTTGTTAAATAAGCTACAATGGCTACATTCATTCACCACAGTAAGCCATAAAGCTCGGATTACAAACTCATTGTCTAGATTCCCATAAGGTGCTAAATAAAGAATAGGCTAGCATTATAAGCATCCTGGTCAATTTCTACCATTGAGAATGAGAATTCACTATTGTAGACAATGCACACTGTTAAACCACAATGCTATTTGTTTTCCTTTTATTATGATATTGTGCCTTATACAGCAATGTACCGTTTTAAAAATTTTGATTCTGCACTGTAGGTGACCCAGGTGTTAGCGAAAATGACCACAAAGATGGTTAACTTATCCTGCATTTTTCAAGAGTATATTCTTTTCCACTGCTCTAATATTGCACAAATTTATTTCCAGAAATCTATTTCTTAATATATTACTAACATGCTTATTGGTTATTACCATTCATGGCTGTCTAGCAATCAACAGTCAATTCAGGGTGTTTTTCAAATACAAACCAGGAACTGGGAGAACAAGGGCTAAATCTCAATCTGCAATCATAACTCACCACATGTTTAAAGCATAAAGCAGTTTAGGATACAATAATTATTAACCAGAACTCAGTCCCCACAGTAGCAGCTCATGGTTTAAAAGAACTCAACCCGTTTCACATGAATAATTATGTGAATGTATGCAACAACACTACAGGTGCACTCATGCCTCTGTAATTTGTTGGCTAAGCAGGAAGATTTATTTCTAAAATCCAATTATTTTTTTTAAGCTATGGA